CCACAAGTCATCAAAGGGCCAAGTTTGAAGACCCCTGACATGATGTGAGGGGGAAATAATGCTAACTCAGAAAAAGCTAATCTGGTGTTTCTCAACCTAGGCCATTTTAAGAGGTGTGGACTTCAACTCCCAGAATTCCTCAGCCAGCATGCCTGGCTGAGGAATTCTGGGAATTGAAGTCTCACAAGTCATAAAAGGGCTAAGTTTGAAGACCCCTGACATGATGTGAGGGGGAAATAATGCTAACTCAGAAAGAGCTAAACTGGTGTTTCTCAACCTCGACCATTTTAAGAGGGGTGGACTTCAACTCCCAGAATTCCTCAGCCAGCGTGCCAAGTTTGAAGGCCTGTGCCCTAGAAGATTCTTCCTATGTCAGTAATGGCGAACATTTTAGAGCCCAGGTGCCCAAACTGCAACCCAAAAGCCAATTATTTATCACCGGGTGCCTGGTGGGCGTGGCCCACTGGGTGGTCATGGCTGTGGTCATGGCAGACTGGGTGGATGTGGCCAAGCTGGGCATGGTCACCTCGATGTTGCTCGTGGCGAGAGACGCCTATGGGGGCCGGGCAGGGTTGGGGGAGATCCAGGGGGTCTCTGGCAGATGGGATGGTGGGCAGAAGGCTCGTCCTGCGGGGTGAGGCAAGGCAGGGTGGAGGTGCCATTACCGCGGGCAAGGCGAGGCAGGGACCGGGGTGGTTGCTGCCTGACACCATTGGCCCCCCCACACAGAGGCCAGCAAGCGCATGGGGTCCGACAGTGTCCGTCAGCAGCCACAGCCTGCCGGCCCCCCGACCGGTACATTCTGGGGTTCCACAGCCCACCGCCAGCAGTTCAGAGAAGTCGCCTCTGAGCTGGACAGCCGGCCGACAGCTGAGGAGGCGATGCAGTGGGTCGTGCCCAGAAAAAGGAGAGCATGCGAGGCCAGGAGGGATGGGATGTGGAGGGAGGGAAACCAGCCATGCTGGGATGCATCCAGCCACATGGGACCTCAGTGAGTTAGTGGGCAGCTGGTTGAAGATGGACGGTTGCCATCTCCAGGGCATGGCGCGCGTGCCCACAGAGAGGGCTCTGAGTGCCGCCTCTGGCACCCGTGCCACAGGTTCGCCACCACTGTCCTATGTGATCCTGAGAAATTAAAAGCCACTTTTTCTCTTTGTAGTTGTTCGATCGGGAGCTTTGCGTCCGCCAGCTGAGATATTCCGGCATGATGGAAACCATCCGGATCCGCAGGGCGGGCTATCCAATCCGCTATACTTTTGTGGAATTTGTCGACAGATACCGAGTTCTCATGCCGGGGGTGAAACCCGCCTACAAGCAGGTAGAGATGGATAATCCTATTTAAACCACAAAAAACCCACCATTCCTTGCCAGCCACTTCTGTTGCGAAGTGAGACATTCGTTAAGTGAATTTTGCTCCGTTTTCTTGCCATGTCTGTTAAGCGAATCACTGCAGTTGTTAAGTTAGCAAGCCGGTTGTTAAGTGAATCCGGCTTCCCCATTGACTTGGCTTGTGAGAAGGTCGCCAAAGGGAGATCACGTGACCCCCCTGGGACATTGCGACCGTCATAAACATGAGTCAGTTGTCCAAATTTTGATCACGTGATGCTGCAGCGGTCGTAAGTGTAAAAAACGGTCATCAGTCCCTTTTCCCAGTACCGCTGAAATGTCAAACGGTCACTAAGCGAACCGTTGTAAGTTGAGGACTTCCAGTACCTGCAAGAGTCACCCTGTAAGTGCTCTTAATTACCTAGATAAAATACAAGTAGCCATCAGCTTACGACTATAATTGAGATAGCAATTAAGCGATTGTAAGTCGGGCTGGCTGTTAAGCAGGACATCCCACACTTGCTTTTACGACTTTTTTTCATGGCTGTCGTTAAACAGGTGGCATCTTTCGTGAAGCAAATCCACAATTCGCTGTGGATGCAGCTTTTTGGCTTTCTGTATTCCTGTCCAAAGCATCTCCAAATTATATTTGAATGAGCAGATTAAATAGGTATAAATAGGACACTGAAACACAGCATGTGTATAAAGTGCAGTGAGTCCTCAACTTATAACACTCGAAGTTTTTAAGAAGTAGACTGGGCAGCCATTTGTCTGAAATGGTGTAGGGCAGGGGTAGGCAACCCAAAACACTCAAAGAGCCACTTGGACCCGTTTCCCACCAAAAACAAAACACCGGGAGCTGCAAAACCCTTTTGATATCTAAAATGAAGATAACACTGCATATATCCTTTTTTACCTTTATTATAGGTGTGTGTGTGTGTGTGTGTGTGTGAGAGAGAGAGAGAGAGAGAGTGTTTGTGTATGTGTGTGTGTATACACACACACACACACACACACACACACACATTAAAAATAAAAGTAAAAATATGACTCTTGGGAATATCCATACTATTAAAACAATGATCACCGAGAGAATGCTTTAAGAGAATAAAATTACATACACACACAGGTAAAAAAAGGATATATGCAGTGTTATCTTCATTTTAGATGTCAAAAGGGTCTCTCTCTCTCTCCCTCCCTCCCTCCCTCTCTGCCCTTGGTCTGCCACTCCTCTTTCCCCACTCTCTTTCTTTCTCTCTCTCTCTTTCCTCTCTCTCTCTCTCTCTCTCTCTCTCTCTCTCTCTCTCCCTCCCCCCCCCTCTCCTATCTGCTGCTCACCTGGCAAGCTTCAAGCTGTTGTCCAACAAGCTTCAGGGTAAGCAACCTCGTCTCTTTTATGACTCATGGACTTCAACTCCCAGAATTCCTGAGTCAGCCTAGCTGGGCTAGCTAGCTCTCTCCTGCCCTTCCTGCTTCCTGCAGAGACGCAGCGAAGGGAGGAGCTCCGCCCAGTAAGCTTTTCAGCTCCTCGGAGAACACTGTGAGTGCACTCTCTTTTGTGTACACACACACACACACACACACACACACACACACACACACACACACACACACGGGGGGGGGGGGAGAGAGAGAGAGAGAGAGAGAGAAACAGGGAAGCGCAATTGCCTCTCTCTGTCTCTGTCTCTCTCTGCAAAGGCAGAGGAGGCTGGGAGCCGCAGGGAAAGGCCCAAAGAGCCCCATGCGGCTCCGGAGCCGCAGGTTGCCGACCTGTGGTGTAGGGTTTCCTGCCTCAGCAAGGAGTTGGATCAGATGACCTCCAAGGTCCCTTCCAACTTTATTATTATTATTATTATGGATCATCGCACAGTCAGCCAGATGTTCAGACTGGATTTGGCATTTTGTCTACCTATCGAGTCCTTACCCAGGACCTGGGATAGGCAGATGTAGATGTTTGATGGTATTACAGATATCGTCGCAGGATGGAAGCAGTTCCTAATAAGGCCGCCTTTTGCAATTGACTAATAGCGAATTTGTCAATGCCAGTGGTGTTCAAGTGGTGCTCCAGTTGTTTTGGGATTGCACCCAAGGAGCCTATGACTATTGGTACTACCCTTGCTTGCTTTTGCCACAGTCTTTCTATTTCTATTTGTAGGTCTTTGTATTTTGTTATCTTCTCCAGTTCTTTCTCTTCTATTCTGCTGTCTCCAGGCACTGCCACGTCCACTATCCAGACTTTTTTGTCTTTCTTATCGACAATTGTTAAGTCTGGGGTGTTATGTTGCAGGTGCTTGTCTGTTTGAATTCTGAAGTCCCAGAGCAGTTTAATTTTATCATTTTCTATGACTTTCTCTATTTTATGATCCCACCAGTTTTTGCTTACAGGCAAATGATATTTTTTGCATATCTTCCAATGCACCATTGTTGCTACTTTGTCATGCCGCTGCTTGTAGTCACTCTGTGCAATCTTCTTTCAGCAGCTTACCAGGTGGTCCCCTGTTTCTTCAGCTGCTTTGCATAGGCGGCACTTACTGTCTGTTGCTGTCTTCTCAATTTTGACTTTATATGCATTTGTTGTTGTTGTTGTTGTTATTATTATTACAATTCATTTAGTGATTATTCGGAAGTTACAACGGCACTGAAAAAAGGGACTTAGGACCGTTTTTCACACTTATGACCGTTGCAGCATCCCCAGGGTCACGTGATCAAAATTTGGATGCTTGGCAATTGACTCGTATTTACAACGGTCGCAGCGTCCCCGGGGTCACTGTGGTTCCCTTTTGCGAACTTCCGACAAGCAAAGTCAACGGGGGGGGGGGGGGGGAAGCTGGATTCACTTAACAGGTGTGTGACTAATTTAATGACTGCATTGATTCACTTAACAGAGGTGGAAAGAAAAGTCGTAAAATGGGGCTAAACTCATTTAAGAAATGTCTCACTTAACAACATAAGTTTTGGCCTCCATTGTGGTCGTGAGCCGAGGACTCCCTGTACTGTATCGTATCCATAATTGTGTTTATATTCCTTTTTAAGATTCTCTCTTGGTCTTTCTTTTCGTTTTTGCTTCTTGCCCTCATCCTGGCTTTCTGTAATCCAGAGGACTAGCAACTTGGGTTTCGTTTTTTCCAGAAGTAAATACCGTGTTTAATGACCAAAATATTGCTCAAAAGGCAGCTCCATGACCACCGGGGGGAAGCCAGATTCGCTTAACGTTCATGTGATTCACTTAATGTCGTCTTTGATTTGCTTAACCACAGTGGCAAAATAGTCGTAAAATGGGTGTGATTCACTTAACTCCCCTGCCTTGCTTAGCAACAGAAATTCTAGCCCCTGCTGAGGTTGTACGTTTGAGGACTAGCGACATGTTCCTAGACTTGTACTGTTGAAAGGGACCTCAGTGGTCATCTAGTCAACCCCCTCTCCCCCACTTGGTGCAAGCATTGAAATCTGTTCTCACTCATTTCTTCCAGGGGGATCTGCATGGAACCTGTCAGCGCATCGCTGAAGCTGTCCTGGGCAGAGATGATGACTGGCAGATTGGCAAGACCAAAATCTTCCTAAAGGTACGGTGGCCGATTATTTCAAAATAAGATCAGATTTCAGGAAGCAGGAAAAAAGAGAAGCGGTGGCCACTGAATAACAGAGTTGGAAGGGACCTTGGAGGTCATCAAGTCCAACCCCCTGCTCAGGCAGGAAACCCTATACCATTTCAGACAAATGGCTGTCCAGTCTCTTCTTAAAAACTTCCAGTGTGGGAGCATTCACAGTTTCTGGAGGCAGGTCGTTCCACTGGCTAGAATAGAGTAGAATAGAATAGAATAGAATAGAATAGAATAGAATAGAATAGAATAGAATAGAATAGAATAGAATAGAATAGAATAGAAAATATGGAATGGAATAGAATAGAATAGAATAGAATAGAATAGAATAGAATAGAATAGAATAGAAAATATGGAATGAGAATAGAATAGAATAGAATAGAATAGAATAGAATAGAATAGAATAGAATAGAATAGAATAGAATAGAATAGAATAGAAATATAAAATGGAATGGAATGGAATGGAATAGAATAGAATAGAATAGAATAGAATAGAATAGAATAGAATGGGATAGAATAGAATAGAATAGAATAGAAATATAAAATGGAATGGAATAGAATAGAATAGAATAGAATAGAATAGAATAGAAATATAGAATAGAATGGGATAGAATATAATAGAATAGAATAGAATAGAATAGAATAGAATAGAATAGAATAGAATTACAGGATGGAATAGAATAGAATAGAATAGAATAGAATAGAATAGAATAGAATAGAATAGAATAGAATAGAATAGAATAGAATAGAATAGAATAGAGCTGGAAGGGACCTTGGAGATCTTCTAGTCCAGCCCCCTGCTCAAGCAGGAGAACCTATACCATTTCAGACAAGTGGCTGTCCAGTCTCTTCTTTAAAACCTCTTTTTAAGTGCCGTATTTATGCTGTTTCTTCCCATTTTTTCCCCATGGGGGTAGCTTTTGAGGCAGGGACAAATATCTAGATTGGGAGACTTTTGCCCATCCAGAGGGAAAAAACAGAAGTCAGCTGAATCCATTCCAGCTACAATCTGTTGCTTCCTCCTCAAATCCCTCCGTTATCTCATGTTCAGCTGTTCAAATCTCCCTTTCCAGAAAGTGTTATCAGTGTTGTGCAATTGTGTTGAGCAGGAAGCTTGGAAATCTGCAGCTCAAAAGGTCTCCTCAGATCATTGGCTCTGCCTGCAAAACAGGAGATTTTATTTTCAGCCCTCTGGGAAGCAATCCCGCAAAGAAAAGACGAGGAGAAAAGTTTTCAGCTTTAAGAAGAGCAGGTTTCTGTTCAAAATTCAGAACCCAAGTGCAAGGGGTGTTGGCTTTTTTTTTTCATGCCTGAAGGATACGAGACGACGCTCATTTAATCAACGGAGGGAAACCCATCAAGGAGAGAAACAACCTAGAACTAAGGAGAAACGTCCTGATAGTGAGACCAATTAACCAGTGGAACTGCTTGCCACCAGAAGTTGCGGGTGTGCTCCATCACTGGAGGCTTTTAAGACGAGACTGGACAGTTATTTGTCTGAAATGGAATAGGGTCTCCTGCCAGAGCAGGGGGTTGGACTAGATGACCTCCAAGGTCCCTTCCAACTTTACTACTATTATTAGGGCTCCTCAACCTTGGAGGACTTCCTGTAATATGCAAATAAAATTGCTGATGCTTCAGGCGAGCAACAGAAATCTCTAGACCAACGGTTCTCAACCTGGGGGTCGGGACCCCATTTGGGGTCGAACAACCATTTCACGGGGGTCGCCAAACAACGCAGTCCGCCATTTCCCCCCCCCCTTTTCCTTAGCTGTGCTACTCCCTTTTATTCTATTGGCTTTTGAAAGCCAATAAAATAGACTCTCTTCAATAGAGTCTATTCGTAAGTTGGCTTTCAAAAGCCAATAGAATTAGACTCTATTCAAGAGAGTCTATTCTATTGGCTTTCAAAAGCCAATAGAATAAAAGGGAGTAGCGCAGCTAAGGAAAAGGGGAAAATAAAATGGTGGACTGCGTTGTTTGGCGACCCCCCTGAAATGGGCGTTCGACCCCAAATGGGGTCCCCACCCACAGGTTGAGAACCACGGGTCTAATTCTATTGGCTTTCAAAAGCCCATAGGAATTGTCCAGGCTATCTCTGCCCTGCTGAGCCTGCCAAAAGTCCCATTGTGCAAACGGTGCTGCAAGTTGTCTGCAGCGAAGGCGAGCTGTCTGGAAGCTTCCACCCCTCCCTGCTGAGCAACTACTAAAAATGTAAGGAAAAGAGGGCCAGGGGTGGGAGGCCGGTGGGCGCAGGGAGGGTTGCTGGTGCGCGTGGGGCCCGGCGGGTGCCTTACCTCCCTTGGGCTGGGCCAGCTGGTGGCCCAGCCGGTGGCCGGCCTGCGCCGTCTCTGCCGCTTGCCAGGTACGCCTCGGCCGGCACAGGGGGCGGCACCACGCATGCGCGGCGCTCCCGGGCGGGGAAAGTCCTCGACTTAACGACCAGTTGGGTAGTCCTCCACTTACAACCGGTTGGGTAGTCCTCCACTTACGACCGGTTGGGTAGTCCTCCACTTACGACCGGTTGGGGTCGTGGCATTAAAAAGGTTGAGAACCACTGCTCTAGGGCATGAATTGTATCTGAAGAGGGATGAGAGGGAAGAAAGGAGATGAGAGAGAAAAGAGTGAAGGAGGGGAGAAGGAAGTAGGAAGGTTGGAGGAGAAGAGGAGAAGTGGGGAGAAAGGGGAGGAGAGTGGTGAAGGAAAGAGAAGAGGAGAGGAAGAAGAGGGAAGTAGGGAAGAGAAGAAAGGGAGAAAGAAGGTAGAGAAGAAAGAGTGTGGACACAGTGAAAGGGGAAAAATGGGCGAGCAACACCAAAAGTCATGTGTATGTATTTATTTCATTTTATTAAAAGTATCTTATATATGAATGTAAAAAGAATGTAGGTTAACATCTGATAAATATTACAGTATATGTATGGGGGAGAGTTTAGAAAAATAAAAAATTATATATATAAAAAAGAAATCTCTAGGGCAGGGGTCCCCAACCTATGGGGCGTAGTCTAGGACCGGGCGGCAGGCTTTTGGCCAGCAGTCCGTGGAAATGGCTGGCCGCTGTGTGCACATGTGGGTGCGCATTCCTGGGTTGTGGTCACTATGCCGGTGGTCCTGTTGGCGCATGCACATGGGTGAGAACGGGGCTGATAGCCCCGGGCAGCTGTGCGCGGCCCATTTGTGCATGCCTGAATGGGCCAGTAGTGACGGGCAAGTTGTGTGGTCGTTTGTGCATGTGTGAATGGGGCCACTAGTGCTGGGCAGCTGTGTGCAGCCGTTTATGCATGCCTGAATGGGCCACTAGTTGCGTGGTCATTTGTGCATGTGTGAATGGGGCCACTAGCCGCCACGGGAGGTGTGTGGCTGTTCGTGCATGCACATGGCACCAGAGCATGCCTCATGCATGAATGGGGCCGCTAGTGCCGTGCCCGTGTGCATGGCCACATTTGCGAGGACGCGCACATGCACATCAGTTTGGCAGCTGCTCTCCTTCCCTCCGGTCCATGAGCCCAGAAAGTTTGGAAACCTCTGCTCTAGGGTACAGATAGTCCTCAATTTACAACCATTCGTTTAGCGACCAACGTTACAACGAAACTGAAAAAGGTGAAATATGACCGTTTTTCACACTTGACAAGCATTGTTGCACCATCCCCGTGGTCACGGGATCCAAAATTCGGAGGCTTGGCAACTGACTCGTAGCAATGACGGTTCCAGCATCTCGAGGTCACATGATCGCCATCGCTAACCTTCCCACAAGCCAAGTCAATGGGGGGGGAAGCCAGATTCACTTAAGGATGTCCCAATTCACTTAACAACGGCTGCGATGGCGAAAAAAGGTCACAAAATGGGGCAAAACTCAGTTAGCAACTGCCTTGCCGAGCGAGGGAAATTTTGAGCTCCATTGTGGTCATAAATTGAGGACTTCCTGGAATGGCTCTTTTTCATCCTTCTCTAATTTCTAAATTAAAAAGGCACGTTTTGTGTATGGCACACATAGACGGTGACCACAAGGCCTGCCATTCAACTAGGACAGTGGTTCTCAACCTTTGTAATGTCACGATCCCCCAACCGGTCGTAAGTCGAGGACTACTCAACTGGTGCAGCCCCGTTTGCAGAATGGGACTTTTGGGGGGCTCAGCAGGGCAGAGACAGCCTGGACAATTCCTATTGGCCTTTGAAAGCCAATAGAATTAGACTATATTCAAGAGAGTCTATTCTATTGGCTTTCAAAAGCCAATAGAATAAAAGGGAGGAGCACAGCTAAGGAAATGGGGGGGGGGAAATGGCGGACTGCATTGTTTGGCGACCCCCGTGAAATGGGCGTTCGATCCCAAATGGGGTCCCGACCCACAGGTTGAGAACCACTGAACTAGGAACTAATCATCATTAATCCACAGCTATATATATATATATATTATTTTTTCCAGGATCACCACGACATGCTGTTGGAAATTGAGCGGGACAAGGCCATTACCAACAAGGTTATCCTTATTCAGAAAGTGGTTCGTGGATTTAAAGACAGGTATCTGGGAAAGCCGGCTAATATTTCTGGGCGTGAAACGTAACCTGGGAATTGTTACTTGTGACCGTGGTCGGGAAGGTTTTCTGTTTCCAAGGAAACCTTGCATGGTTTCTTTTCTTCTGTGTGTCATGGATCAGTTAAACATGAGCCGTGGTGGCACAGTGGATAGAAATTGCAGTAATTGCAGGATAATTCTGCCCACTGCTGGCAGTTCGATCCTGACCAGCTCAAGGTGGACTCATCCTTCCGTCCTTCCGAGGTTGGTAAAATCAGGACCCAGATGGTTGGGGGAAAATTTGCTGACTCTGTAAACCGCTTAGAGAGGGCTGTAAAGCACGGTGAAGCGGTATATAAGTCTAAGTACTATTACAAAGGAAGGGAGGGAGGGAAGAAGGAAGGAAGGGAGGGAGGGAGGGAGGGGAAGAAGGAAGGAAAAGGAGGGAGGGAGGGAGGAAGAAGGGAGGGAGGGAGGAAGGAAGGAAGGAAAAGAAGGGAGGGAAGGCGGGCGGGAGGGAGGCAAGAAGGAAGGAAGGAAGGAGGGAGGGAAGGAAGAAGGAAGGAAGGAAAAGAAGGAAGGGAGGAAGGAACGAAGGAAGGAGGGAGAGAGGGGAGGAAGAGAGGAAGGAAGGAAGGAAGGAAGGAAGGAAGGAAGGAAGGAAGGAAAAGAATGGAGGGAAGAAGGATGGAAGGAAAAGGAGGGAGGGAGGAAGGAAGGAGGGAGGAAGGAAGGAGGGAGGGAGGGAAGATGGAAGGAAAAGGAGGGAGGGAGGGAGGGAGGAAGAAAGGAAAAGAAGGGAGGGAAGGCCGGCGGGAGGGAGGCAAGAAGGAACGAAGGAGGGAGGGAGGGAAGAAAGAAGGAAGGAAGGAAGGAAAAGAAGGAAGGGAAGAAGGAAGGAAGGAAGGAAGGAGGGGGGGAAGGGGGGAAAGAAGGAAGGAAGGAAAAGAAGGGAGGGAGGGAGGCAGGAAGGAAGGAGGGAGGGAAGAAGGATGGAAGGAAAAGGAGGGAGGGAAGAAAGAAGGAAGGAAGGAAAGAAGGAAGGAAAAGAAGGAAGGGAAGAAGGAAGGAAGGAAGGAGGGGGGGAAGGGGGAAAGAAGGATGGAAGGAAAAGGAGGGAGGGAGGAAGAAAGGAAGGAAGGAAGAAAAAGAAGGGAGGGAAGGCGGGAGGGAGGGAGGCAAGAAGGAAGGAAGGAGGGAGGGAAGGAAGGAAGAAGGAAGGAAAAGAAGGATGGGAGGAAGGAACGAAGGAAGGAGGGAGGGAGGGAGGGGAGGAAGAGAGGAAGGAAGGAAGGAAGGAAGGAAAAGAATGGAGGGAAGAAGGATGGAAGGAAAAGGAGGAAGGAAGGAGGGAGGGAGGAAGGAAGGAAGAAGGGAGGGAGGGAGAGAAGAAGGAAGGAAGGAAGGAAGGAAAAGGAGAGAGGGAGGGAGGGGAGGAAGGAAGGAAGGAAGGGTGGGCTGTGGTGGGGCAGTGTTTAGAATGCAGTATTGCAGGCTAACTCTGCCCACTGCCAGAGGTTCGATCCTCACCCGCTCAACCGTCTGCAACCGTCACTAAGTGAATGATTGTAAGTCGAGGCCTACCCGAAAAGGTATCCTGCCTGCTTGAGGCAAAGGGTGGGGTGGCTGATGGGTCCTTTCCGCACAGCAGTGGGAAAAAAACTCTAACTTTGGTCTCAAGCATGTTTGGGAGTCCGGAAAGGAAATAAACTTTGTCCTAATTGAAGTTTCTGATAAGAGACTCTTCCTGAATGCAGAAAAACAAGAGTCCACTAAAAAAGAATTACCGTTTTCTGGAAGGTGGTTGGACTAGGCTCTATGCTAACGGGCAGCTGCAGGGACTCCTCGACTTACAACCCTTCGTTTAGTGACCGTTCAAAGTTAAAACGGCCCTGAAAAAAGCGACTTAGGACCGATTTTCACACTTAACGACCGTTGCAGCCTCCCTGCGGACACTTGGCAACTGACTCCTACTTACGACGGTTGCAGTGTCCCCCAAGGTCACGGGATCCCCTTTTTGCGACCTTCTGACAACGGGGGAAGCCAGCTTCACTTTACAACCGTGTTACGAACTTAACATCCGCAGTGATTCGCTTAACAACGGTGGCAAGGAAATTCGTAAAATGGGGCAAAACTCACCGAACGTCTGTCTTGCTTAGCAATGGAAATTTGGGGGGGCTCAATTGTGGTCATAAATCGAGGACTGCCTGTGCTTTACGGACATAATTTGAGGACCTGCCAAAACGACCTTTGAAATGTTGACATTTTATCTCCTTAACACGTAACTCGTTAACATGGTTAACTCATTAAGAAGAGGCAGCTTTGGTGAATTTTTCTCCACGATTGCAAGGAGAAGAAAAATTCTTCGGCCACAATATTTGCAGCGAGCCAGGAAGGCTTTTTTAAAAAACCACATTGGGGGCTGCAACTGTGAACTTTAAGCTGTCTGTGCCATCAGGTGTAAAAAGAAACCAGCTTTTCATCATGCAATCCTGGCTACTTTTTTACCACCTTCTTCGGAACGCTTCCAACCCGAAACCAAACAAACTTTGATTCTGCAATGCAGGAGTTTACTCCGTTTCTCAAGAACTCTGATGTCACTCCCCACCTTTTCTTTTTCCTTTTTGAAAAGACAATCCACTTATTATTGGATGTTGGGTCTTCTCCGAGCTTGGTGGTTTTTCCTGCAGACGTTTCCTCGCCAGTGTAGGTAACCTCACCAGTTCAATGGGGAGTGAAGTGTTGGTTGCTGAGTGGTTAAGCAGGAAACAGAGCAGATAAAGACCCTGTTCAAGGATAAATGCCTCAAAGCGATATTGCAATTTTCTTCCCAGATCTCATTTCTTGAAAGTGAGGAACGCGGCACTCGTGATTCAACAGAATTGGAGAGGCTACAACTGTCGGCGAAATTACGAAGCTGTAAGTACGTCTGAATGTTGCCGAGATCCTGTCCTTTGCCTCCTTCAGCTTCCAGCAGATGCTTTTTTACTGCAAACCTGGTACGCTCTGCATAGAGAGGACGACTCTGCCACTAAGCTATGATCTAGCCATGTTGGGTTACCCCTCCACCCTCCAGTCTTCTTTAATGTAGTGGAGTGTTGTTTAGAGAAGTGAGCCTAGTCTAATTTAGTGGGTTTACTTTAGGGTACGTTAGTCTAGTACAGGGGTAGGCAATCTTGCTTTTTTATGACACGGGGACTTCAACTCCCAGAATTCCTGAGCCACCATGGAGGAACTATGGCCCCTTCATGACTCGGGGACTTCAACTCCCAGAATTCCTCAGCCAGCATGGGGGAACTATGGCCCCTTCATGACTCGTGGACTTCAACTCCCAGAATTCCTCAGCCAGTATGGGGGAACTATGGCACCCTCATGATTCGGGGACTTCAACTCCCAGAATTCCTCAGCCAGCATGGGGGAACTATGGCCCCCTCATGACCTGTGGACCAACTCCCAGAATTCCTCAGCCAGCATGGCTCAGCTTGGAAACCTCTCTCTTTCCCCTCAGCATGGCTGGCTAAGGAATTCTGGGAGTTGAAGTCCACGAGTCATAAAAAAGCCAAGGTTGCCTACCCCTAGTCTAGTAGTTTAATGGTATATGATTCAGTTTAATTTAGGGCAGGGATCCCCCAACCTGCAGGGCCGTGGCTTGCTGGCCACTGGGCTGTGGAACGGGCTGGCCAGTGCACCCACATGTGGGTGCACATTCACCCCCATTCGTGTTAGCGCCACCGCAGCTATGCAAACGGGGCGCAACGTGGCAAAAACAGGGCACCGCAGCTATGCAAACGGGGCGCTGCGACCTTTTGACAAGCAAAGTCAATAGGGGAAGCCTGGTTCACTTAACAGCCGGGTGACTTAACTTATCAACTGGAGCAATTCACTTAACAATTGTGGCAAGAAAGGTCGTCAAATGGGGCAAAACTCAGTTAACAGCTGTCTTGCTCAGCGACAGAAATTTCGGGCTCAGTTGCGGTCGTAAGTCGAGGACTGCCTGTATGGACTCGCCTTGGCTTTTTCTTGCCCCTTTTCAGGCTCTCCTTGAAGCATACAATGGTGTGTGTGTGTGTGTGTGTGTGTGTGTCTCCAACCTTAACCACTTGTGGACTTCAACTCCCAGAATTCCTCAGCCAGCCATGCTGGCTGAGGAATTCTGGGAGTTGAAGTCCACCAGTCGTACAGTAGCCAAGGGTGGGGGCCCCTTCCACAACATCTTTGCTCTTCATCCATCGGTCATCCCTCTTGCTTGACCCCCCCCCCCCAATTTCACTTCTCCCCGAATCTGCTTGTAAATTGGTCCTTCCCGATTCCTGGTCCCAGATGCGAATCGGCTTCCTGAGGCTTCAGGCGCTCTATCGTTCCCGCAAGCTCCACCGGCAGTACCATATGGCTCGCCAGCGCATCATCGAGTTCCAGGCCAGGTGCCGGGGTTTCCTGGTGCGTCGCGCTTTCCGCCACCGCCTTTGGGCGGTCTTCACCATCCAATCCTACGGGCGAGGGATGATTGCCCGGCGACTCTACAAGCGGCTGAAAGGGGAGGTGAGACTCGCACGCGGAACCCTCAAAGATCCAACTAGGACCGGGGGTGGATGGGAATGGTTTTCTGGGAAAACTGACATCCTGCAAGGAGATTTTGAACCCCAATCGAACAACATCTGCCTATCCCAGGTGCTCGGGAAGGACTCGGTAGGTGCTAAAACTGCCACAGCTGGCTGGAAAAACAGCTGGAGTTAGGAGGGATGGCTAAGTTGATTGTTTTAGTCAGAAAAAAAGAACACATCTCACTTTGTTTTCACTGGGAAACCGTTTCTGGACTTTGTGTTTGAGGTGGGAAAAAACACCTGGAAGCTTTGATTTTGGGTTTTGCTGTTTGTTTATTCACGTCAGAAGCGTCACAATTAAAATAAGGCATGACGCAAAATGTAAAATATAAAGTAGAAGGTTAAAATGTTTACAAATTAAACAGATCTTGCCCAGAAATGAGCAACATGAATTGTGTTGTGTTACATTGCCGTGAGCTGCTCAGGTATGCACAGATCTGGACACAAAGGGCAGGTATACATATGTGTTGTTGTGTGTATGTCATCACAATCGCAAAGGCAGAAGCCACTGGATGATCCCATTTGTTCGGAGTGGTTTTTGCTAATGAGATAGGATTGTTGTTATACAAATGGATAGTATATATTATTATGTAGAGCTAGAAAATTGAAGTGTGATGTTATTATCTTATGCCACTGAACTAAAAACAGTAGGAAGTCAATGTTTGTTTCCTTTTTTCCTATTTATTTGATTCTGGGCAGCTCATAATTCAAAACATGCATTACAATCAAAACTTCAACAACATTTCAAAACAAAAAAATAATACAAACGAGCAAACATTACAACAATGAAAATGATTAAAATGTCGAATTACATATAAAAGCAAAATATCCTTTTACCCTTACTTTCTCGTCTTGCTTTTTTCCTCCCCTGTTTTCCTGTTATTTTGATTTTACTTTATATTCTATGTTCAGAGAAACTAATAGCAATTTGATGGCTGAGGTGATGAAATGGCTAAATCCAGTCTAAACATTTGGCTGATTGTCCAACCAACCATAATAATAATAACAACAACACACTTTGCATACCTCCCAAATCCATCTTGTTTGTCCATAACTTCAAACTGTTGAACCATTTCATCTACACCAGGGGTAGGCAACCTTGGATCTTTTATGACTTGTGGACTTCAACTCCCAGAATTCCTCAGTCAGCATGGGGGAACTATGGCCCCTTCATGACTCGTGGACTGCAACTCCCAGAATTCCCGAGCCAGCATGGGGGAACTATGGCCCCTTCATGACTCGTGGACTTCAACTCCCAGAATTCTTCAGCCAGCATGGGGGAACTATGGCCCCTTCATGACTCAGGGACTTCAACTCCCAGAATTCCTCAGCCAGCATGGGAGAACTATGGCCCCTTCATGACTCATGGACTTCAACTCCCAGAATTCCTCAGCCAACATGGAACTATGGCCCCTTCATGACTGGCGGACTGCAACTCCCAGAATTCCTCAGCCAGCGTGGCTCAGTTTGGAAACCTCTCCCCTTCCCCTCAGCATGGCTGGCTCAGGAATTCTGGGAGTTGAAGTCCACGAGTCATAAAAGAGCCAAGGTTGCCTACCCCAGCCAACCTGGGAGGCTAGTTAGTAAAGTAAATCCATGGAGGTGATGTTCTGTTTCTTTCTGTAGTATTACCGACGGCTGGAAGCAGAAAAATTACGTCTGCTGGAAGAGGAACGGTTGAGGAAGGAAATGGGTGCAAAGAAAGCCAAGGAGGAAGCAGAAAAAAAACATCAGGTAGGTCCATGGATTCCTGGAGTTGGAAGGGACCTTAGAGGTCATAGAATCATAGACAGCTAGGATTGGAAGGGACCTTGGAGGTCGTAGAATCATAGACGCCTAGGGTTGGAAGGGACCTTGGAGGTCGTAGAATCATAGACTCCTAAGGTTGGAAGGGATCTTGGAGGTCATAGAATCATAGGGCTGGAAGGGACCTTGGAGAATATAGAGTCATAGACTCCTAGAGTTAGAAGTGCTTTGGAGATCATAGAATCATAGATGCTTAGGGTTGGAAGGGACCTTGGAGGTCATAGAATCATAGATGCCTAGGGTTGGAAGGGACCTTGGAGGTCGTAGAATCATAGACTCCTAAGGTTGGAAGGGACCTTGGAGGTCGTAGAATCATAGACTTCTAAGGTTGGAAGGGATCTTGGAGGTCATAGAATCGTAGAGCTGGAAGGGACCTTGGAGAACATAGGGTCATTGATTCCTTGGATTGGAAGGGACCTTGGAGAATATAGAGTCATAGACTCCTAGAGGGGCTTTGGAGATCATAGAATCATAGACACTTAGGGTTGGAAGGCACTTTGGAGGTCATAAAATCAGATTCTTAGGGGTTGAAGGGACCTTGGAGGTCATAGAGTCATAGACTCTAAGCGAGAACTAAGGAGAAATTTCCTGGCAGTGAGGACAATTAACCAGTGGAACCACCTGCCTCCAGGAGTTATGGGTGCTCCATCGCTGGAGGTTTTCAAGAAAAGATTGCACAACCATTTGTCTGAAATGGTAGAGGAACCATGACATCCTGCTTGAGCAGGGGGCTGGACTGGAAGACCTCCGAGGTCTGTTATTCTTTTTTTTTTCTCTTATTCTTTCCTCATTCTTATTTTTTCTAGTTGCGCCTGGCCCAGCTGGCTCGGGAAGACGCGGAAAGAGAAATCAAAGAAAAAGAAGAAGCTCGTCGGAAGAAGGAACTTCTGCAGAAGATGGAGAAGGCTCGGAACGAACCCGTGAACGATTCAGACATGGTGGACAAAATGTTTGGATTCCTGGGAACGACAGCAACGCTGCCGGGACAGGAAGGACAGGCGCCTGATGGCTTTGAAGTAAGCAAGTCTGACAGATGGTCGGGAGGTTAAGGAAGTACAGATAGTCCTTGACTTACAACCACTTGTTTAGTGACCAAAGTTACAAGAGTACTGAAAAATATGACTTATGGCTATCAAAATTCATATGCTTGGCAACTGGCGGGTACTTATGACGGTTGCGCTGTCCCGGGATCGTGTGATCGCCGTTTGCAACCTTCACAGCAAGCTTCCAACAAGCAAACTCAGTGGGGGAAGCCAGATTTGGTTAATGACTGAATGATTCACTTAGCAACTGTGGCAAGGAAGGTCGTAAAATGGAGCATGTCTCACTTAACAACGGTCTTGCTTAGCAATGGAAATGTGTGTGGGGGGGTCAACGGTGGCCGTAATTTGAGGACTACCTATTTTGAATTCCTGGCCTTTGCAAGGAGTTGGCCTTCAACGTCTGTGCAGATTCTCAGTCCTCCAGGTCACGGTTATCCCAAAAGTGCTTTTTCAAACCGGACTTTGTTTCTCCTTGAAGATGTTTCGCTTCTCATCCGAGAAGCTTCTTCAGTTCTAGCTGAATGGTGGAGGATGGAAAGATTTGTATTCCTTTCAGTCATCTGGTTATTAGTACTCTCTCTGAGAGTCGTTGAGGCCACTTAGAGCAGTGGTTCTCAACCTGTGGGTCGGGACCCCATTTGGGGTCGAACGACCATTTCACGGGGGTCGCCAAACAACACAGTCCGTCATTTTTTTCCCCCTTTTCCTTAGCTGTGCTACTCCCTTTTATTCTATTGGCTTTTGAAAGCCAATAGAATAGACTCTCTTGAATAGAGTCTAATTCTATTGTCTTTCAAAAGCCAATAGGAATTGTCCAGGCTGTCTCTGCCCTGCTGAGCCCGCCAAAAGTCCCATTCTGCAAACGGTGCTGCACCAGTTGAGTAGTCCTCGACTTACGACCAGTTGAGTAGTCATTGACTTACGACCGGTTGGGGGTCGCGGCATTAAAAAGGTTGAGAACCACTGACTTAGAGGTTTATCTGTGCCCTCAGGGTCACCTGGATTGTGCAAATTCAGTTGTGCACTTTTGAAGATAGCCAAGTCCACATTCTGGGCAGAGAGGACTGCTGGTTTGAAAGAGGGGTCAAAGAGGCCAATTACATTAAAATTGAGCAGCCCTCTCTCAATAGAGGGGGACGAATACGACACTCCCTATCTCATGCAATGCAGTCCGCTGGCAATTCAAGCCGCCCTTTAATTGCTCCAAATTTTCCCCAAAGGCTCCCACTTTTGCTGGCAAGCCTCCAAACAAAGGAAAACACACACACCTCTGGCTGGAAGTAGTTTCACAAACAGTCTGATTTAGGAGAGGAATTTACTCAAGGTCACGGAGATAAGAAAGAATGACACATTCGTCATAAACCTGACAAATCTGCGGGAATACACGCTTGCCTGAACAGTCTCAAAAGGGAAGCCAAAATGCCTTCCGAGGCCTATAAACATCCAAGCGACATTGTCAGCCAGTCCAAGGGTCAGAGTTTCCGGGTTTCCAAGCAGAAGTCACAGAACAAGGGATCAGCAACAACACACACAAAACTCCAAGGAATCAGCGTTTGTTCCCGACAAATGCCTCTCCCCACAGCGTCTCCTTAAGTCCCAGTCTCCAGGTGTGTGCCTTGTGGAGAAGGGCGGGACGCTCTCCTCCCGAGTAGTTGAGCCTGAGTAATTGAGCCTGCCTGGGTTGTTCCCTCCTTCTCTCCACTCTCCGTGCTCTAGGATCAGGAGGGGTTGGCCCTTGCTCATCACCTGAGCTCTGCCTCTCCTGTTCCTCCTGTCCCATTCCTGAAGGGCCCTGGCCTGCCTTGGCCTGCTCTTCCCCACATTCCTCTCAAGCCGCAGACCCCTCTCCCTCGCCCTCCATCGGGTCCCATTCCAGCTCATTTTCCTCCGCAGATTCAGCCTCCGATGGAGGCATGACACAATCCTTTCAGCAGTTCCAAAAAAGGCTGCACACCTATTTGCACTATTCGAGTAACCCCAAGGGCGCAGATAAACCTTCAAGTGGCCCTGAACGATTCTCAGAGGGAGCACCAACGACCAGATGACCGCAAGGAATAGACTGTAAATCCTTCCATCCTCTACCGTTCAGTCAGGGTCACTTCCTTATCGGAACGCCGCCGTTTCAAAAGGGAGCGGGAAACACGAGCTATTGTGGATTGAGGGTGTTCCCGCGTTGTTTCTACTTTTTGCTTTGATGTATCTGCATGGGAATTAGGGTGTGTGTGGGGGGGAACCCCCAGGGCCATCTGGTTAAACTCCTGCCGACCAGCTCCAGAGAACGGACGGTTATCTCCCTTTCGGCTTAAAGTTCTCACGACGTCTTCACCCACCAGCGGATCAACTCCTGATGGGCTGGAGCAGTGATGGCGAACCTTTTAGAGCCCAAATGCCCAAACTGCAACCCAAAGCCCACTTATTTCTCGCCGGGTGCCGGGTGGGCGTAGCCCACTGGGTGGTCATGGCTGTGGTCATGGCAGACTGGGTGGGTGTGACCAAGCTGGGCATGGTCACCTCGATGTTGCTCATGGGGAGGGATGCCTATGGGGGCCGGACAGGGTTGGGGGAGATCCAGGGGGTCTCTGGCAAGTGGGGCAGTGGGCAGGAGACTCGTCCTTCGGGGTGAGGCAAGGCAGGGCGGAGGTGCCATTAGGGTGGCTGCTGCCTGACACCATTGGCCACACACAGAGGCCAGCAAGCACATGGGGGCCGACAGTGTCCGTCAGCAGCCACAGCCTGCCGGCCCTCAACCCGTGCATTCTGGGATTCCACAGCCCACCACCAGCAGTTCAGAGAAGCGGCCTCTGAGCTGGACGGATGGCCGACAGCCGAGGAGGCAGTGCAGTGCGTCGTGCCCAGGAAAAGGGGAGCATGCGAGGCCAGGAGAGATAAGATGGGGAGGAGGGAAACCAGCCATGCTGGGATACATCTGGCCACATGGGAGCTCGGTGAGTTAGTGGGCAGCTGGTTGAAGAAGGACGGTTGCCATCTCCAGGGCATGGCGCCTGTGCCCACAGAGAGGGCTCTGAGTGCCGCCTCTGGCACGCATGCCATAGGTTCGCCACCACTGGGCTGGGACGTCAGTTTGGGGGCCAAAAAGATGGGACTTTTAGCTTGATGCTTTTGCAAGGGAACTTCAGATCTCCACCTTGCTTCTCTGCAATCACTTTCTCTCAGTAAATGATGCCTGTGGTGTTTTTCTGAGGGAGGAGCCGAGGCGGGACCTGACATTGTCCGAAATGGTGTAGGGTTTCCTGCCTGAGCAGGGGGTTGGACTAGATGACCTCCAAGGTCCCTTCCAACTTTACTACTATTACTATTACATTCAGAACGGGAGAAGCTTCTTGGACGAGGAGTGAAAAACAAAGAAAGTCCAGTTGCCTTTTTTGGGGGGGAGGCAAAAAAAGGATCTTTGGGACGAGTTGGCCTTAACTGAGTCTTTCCACTCCACACTTCTGGGCAAAACCTTTGAGCTGAGTCAAATCTTCTTTGCAGGATCTTGAAAGAGTTGGGAAAATGCTGCAAGAAGATGAGTTAGACACGGCGCTCCCTCTCCCTGAGGAAGAACAAGAGGACCTGTCGGAGTATAAATTTGCCAAATTCGCCGCCACATACTTCCAGGGCACCACCACGCACACATACGTACGCCGGCCTCTGAAGCAGCCGCTGTTGTACCACGAGGACGAAGGAGACCAGCTGGTGAGTCTCCTTGGGCTGCTTCTTCTTCTTCTGCCATATCCCTTATTGGAGGTTGGCAATCCTGTTTTTATCACTAGCCGCGTGAAAAAGTGCTGCTGAGTTTTGTCCAAACCGGTCCCTTAGAGGCCTTAGAGCAGACATGTCAAACACAAGGCCCGGGGGGCCGGATGCGGCCCACAAAGTGGTTTCATGTGGCCCGCAAAGCCATCCTGGAAACAGTGAGGGAACGGCCCCCGCTGCCTTGGCCCTGGCCCAGGCCGGCTGGGAGCCAATGTACAATTTTGTGGTGGCCATCTATGCTGCAACGCATTCAGTCTTAGCTCCACAAGCCCCCCCCCCCCCGGCATGGCCTGAGAGGAACAGTGAGGCTCCTCCAGTGGACCATGCCTTGGCGCTTGCCCTGGTTCCACCTCTTTCTGCCAGAGACCCTCAGATCTGTCCCATTCCTGCCCAGGCCCCCACAGGCACCCTTGACGTGAACGGTGTAGAGCTGGCCACGCCCACCCTGAAGGCCACACCCACTCCATCCATGCCCACCCTGTAGGCCGCACCCACCCTGGCCACACCCACCTGGCCCCCCAAGGGCAACTACAATGCTAATGCGGCCCTCAATGAAACTGAGTTTGACACCCCTGGATTAGATGATAGGTAGATATTTAAATGGACTCCAGAAGATGGTAGAGGACAGGAAGACCTGGAGGAACGTTGTCCATGGGGTCGTGATGGGTCGGACACGACTTCGCAGTTAACAACAACAAAGATAGATAAAGAATAGATTAGATGATAGTTAGATAGATAGATAGATAGATAGATAGATAGATAGATAGATAGATAGATAGATAGATAGATAGATAGATAGATATGATTAGATATATGAATGATTAGATATAAACAAGACAGATAATGAATAGATTAGATGATAGATAGATAGATAGATAGATAGATAGATAGATAGATAGATAGATATGATTAGATATATGAATGATTAGATATAAACAAGACAGATAATGAATAGATTAGATGATAGATAGATAGATAGATAGATAGATAGATAGATAGATAGATAGATAGATAGATAGATAGATAGATATAATGAATAGATTAGATCAGACATGTCAAACACAAGGCCCGGGGGGCCGGATGCGGCCCGTAAAGTGGTTTCGTGTGGCCTGTGAAGCCGTCCTGGAAACAGTGAGGGAACGGCCCCCGCTGCCTTGGCCCTGGCCCAGGCCGGCCGGAAGCCAATGTACGATTTTGTGCTGGCCATCTATGCTGCAACGCATTCAGTCTTAGCTACGTAAGGCCGTCCGGAAACAGCGAGGAACTGACGCCTGCCGTGTCGGCCCTGCCCCCTGGGTGCATGCTGGGGAGGGGTCCCCCTTTGTGGGGAATGAAGAAATGGACCATCGCCTGGAAGTGGCCAGCAAATGGCCCTCGACTACTTCACATATCTGGCTTGATGGGCTCCAGCGGAAGGGTTTCAGCAGGCAATGAGGCTCCTCCAGTGGACCATGCCTTGGCACTTGCGCCAGTCCCACCCCCTTCTGCCAGAGACCCTCAGATCTGTCCCACTCCTGCCCAGGCCCCCACAGGCAACCTTGACGCGAACGAGCTGGCCATGCCCACCCAATAGGCCACACCCACTCCATCCACACCCACCCAGTAGGCCCCCCCCCGGCCACACACCCCGCCCCCCCCCCCAAGGGCAACCGCAATGCTGATGCGGCCCTCAATAAAATTGAGTTTAACACCCTGCCTTAGAGGTTCTTAGGGGGAGCCTGGAACCCCCACAGAGCACGTCCCCAGTGGCGGATTGGGGGGCCGTACCCATTATGGCTTTTATGCTGTAATGGCGGGTTGGAGGGAATCAAATACCTCCCGTGGACCAACAGGCCTGGTGAGTGGCAGCTGGCTCCCCAGTATCGACTGAAGGCGGAGACCATATTGCAGTGTTTCTCAACCTTGACCATTTTAAGGCATGTGGACTTCAACTCCCAGAATTCCACAGCCAGCAATGCTGGCTGTGGAATTCTGGGCGTTGAAGTCCACATGCCTTAAAATGGTCAAGGTTGAGAAACACTGCCATCTTGGTTGGAACGGATTCAGAAGAACAGCACACAGTGTGGTGGCAGCCCCGTTAACAACCTGTGCACAGCGGTGTAGAAAGCAAAGGGAAGACTACTACACTATATATTTCCCAGGAAAATCATGGTATTGGCGGCAAAACCTAACAATGGCCCCGAGTACAGGCGCCCCTTAAATGGGGCAGGGGTGCTAAGAATCTCCCAGTCCGCTAGAAGCATGATAAACCCAAAACTACGAATTGGACAGCTGGGGAGAAAATAAAAGGGCAGATTGTGGAGGTCAGTCGCTGGCTTCTGACAGGTACTCCTGACTTACAATCAATCATTTAGCGACCGTCTGAATTTACAACAGCACCGAAAAAAGGGACCTGCGACCGCTTTTCACACTTAACGACCGTCGCAGCCTCCCCACAGTCACGTGATCAACATTCAGAGGCTTGGCCACTGACATTTACTGATGACGGTTGCAGCGTCCCCCTGGGTCACGTGATTCTCTTTTGCGACCGTCTGACCAGCAAAGTCAAAGCCAGATTCACTTAACAACCTTGTGACTCCCTTAACGACAGCCAGGATTCCCTTAACAACCGAGTCAAGAAAGGTCATAAAACGGGGCGAAGCTCACTTAATGAATGTCTCGCTTAGCGACAGAAATTTTGGACTCTGTCGCGGTCGTAAGTCGAGAACTCCCTGTACAGATAGTCCTCGACTTACCGCAGTTTCATTTAGGGCCCGTTCAAAGTTACAGCGGCACTGAAAAAAGCGATCTACGACCGTTTTCACACTTACGACCATTGCAGCATCCCCAGGGTCACCTGATCAACATTCAGAGGCTCGGCAACTGGCATGGACTTATGACGGTTGCAGTGTCCCCAGGTCACGTGATCCCCTTTTGTGAGCTTCTGACAAGCAGAGTCAATGGGGGGGAAGCCAGACTCACTTAACGACTGTGTGACTCACTTAACAATGGCAGGGATTCCCTTAACAACGGTGGTCAGAAAGGCCGTAAAATGGGGCAAAGCTTACTTAACCACTGTCTTGTTTAGCGACGGACATTTTGGGCTCCATTGTGGTCGTAAGTCGAGGACTACCTCAATTTCCTTTCCCGCCAAAACCAGGCAGCCCTGGCGGTGTGGATCACCGTCCTTCGCTTTATGGGGGACCTCCCGGAGCCCAAATATCACACCGCGATGAGCGACGGCAGCGAGAAAATCCCGGTCATGACCAAAATTTATGAGACGCTGGGGAAGAAGTCGTACAAGAAGGAGCTCCAGGCCCTTCAGAGCGAAGGAGAAGTAAGTAGGAAGCTGGCAAAGCTTCTGTTCCTCATTTCTGTTGTTTTGGGAAAGGAAGAGCAAGATACTCACAGAGTAGGAACCACAGAAGTGGACCCAGATGGGCCTTGCGGAAGGAATCCAACAATCGTTAGATAAGCGTCAACTTTGCCCAGTCAAACAGAAGTGAGGAAAGCACTGAAGTGGAACCACTTGCCTCCAGGAGTTGTGAATGCTCCAACACTGGAAGTTTTTAAGGAGAGATTGGACAGCCATTGTTTGAAATAGGGTTTCTGCCTGAGCAGGGGGTTGGACTAGATGACCTCCAAGGCCCCTTCCAACTCTGTTATTCTATTCTATTCTATTCTATTCTATTCTATGCTATTCTATTCTATTTTCTATTCTGTTCTATTCTATTCTGTTTTATTCTATTCTATTCTATTTTCTATATTTTCTATTCTATTCTATTTTATTATTAAATGGTTCTCCTGCTTGAGCAGAGGGCTGGACTAGAAGACCTCCAAGGTCCCTTCCACCTTCTATTCTATTCTATTCTATTCTATTCTATTCTATTCTATTCTATTCTATTCTATTCTATACTATATTTTTATTGTATTGTATTGTATTGTATTTTTATTCTATTTTCTATATTTTCTGTTCTGTTCTTTTCTGTTCTCTTCTATTCTCTACTATTTTTATTCTATTTTCTATATTTTCTGTTCTCTTCTATATTTCTATTCTTTTCTATTCTATTCTATATTTTTATTCTATTCTATTCTGTCCTATTCTATTTTTATTCTATTTTCTATATGTTCTATTCTATTCTATTCTATTCTATTCTATTCTATCCTATTGTCCCCCCTTTTTATCTTTCTTATAAGAGGAGAGAAGAAAAATGTCCGCCATGCTCTCAAGATTCTGTTATTATACATTTAAAATGTAGAATTCCAGTAGTTTATGAGGCATCTGTTTCTTGACTTCGTTTAAGCTACCATAGCAGATCTGATAGCAATATTTAAAGGTATCTGGAGCAGCGTGCATTGGAATGAAATAAGGAAAAAGAAATAGAAAAAAAATAAGAATTGAAATAAGGAAATAGAAGCAGAAATAAAAGAAATGAAATGAAACCAGGAAATAGAAGTAGGAAGAAATAGAAATAATAAAAAATAAATGAGGAAATAGAAATTGGGGGGGGGGGGAAAAACACCCAGAAATAACAGAAATGGAATAAAGAAATGGAAATCGAAAGAAATATAAGCGTACACTGACAGGGGGATTCTGGGAATTGAAGTCCACAGGTCTTAAAGTTGCCAAGCTTGAGAAACACTGGCATAAGGTGTGATTATTCCTAACTCTGGGACATTTTTTTACAGAGTGCCCATCTAGATGGCCACAAGAAAAGCAGCGTGCGACAGAAACTGGTCTCCTTAACCCTCAAGAAAAAATCAAAGTTAACCGAAGAGGTGAGTAACTCCTGTCATGCTTAAGCCAACATCCAGCCCTCTGATCACGGCCTGAGTGGAGGAACTTGGCTTTTTCCAGGTTAGAGTAATAAGTCTTTCTTCGGTTGTAACTACAAACAGTCGCTAAACAAATTGGCCGTAAATCAAAGACCATCTTATGTTGATGGTGGAAGCTGGGATTTGGGGGGGGGTTCTCTCCCCCCTTGCTCTGCAGACTGATTCCAGATCAGTAGAATAGAATGGAATAGAATAGGGAACAGGACAGAATAAGGAATAGGACAGAAGAATAGAATAGAATAGAATAGAATAGAATAGAATAGAATAGAATAGAATAGAATAGAATAGAATAGAATAGAATAGGGAAAAGGACAGAATAAGGAATAGGACAGAAGAATAGAATAGAATAGAATAGAATAGAATAGAATAGAATAGAATAGAATGGAATGGAATGGAATGGAATGGAATGGAATGGAGTGGAGTGGAGTGGAGTGGAGTGGAGTGGAGTGGAATGGAATGGAATAACAAGAAAGAATGGAATGGAATGGAAAAACAGGAAAGAATGGAATGGAATGGAATAACAGGAAAGAATAGAATAGTATAGAATGGAATGGAATGGAATAACAAGAAAGAATAGAATAGAATAGAATGGAATGGAATGGAAAAACAGGAAAGAATAGAATGGAATGGAATGGAATGGAATGGAATGGAATAACAGGAAAGAATAGAATAGAATAGAATAGAATAGAATAGAATAGAATAGAATAGAATAGAATAGAATAGAATAGAATAGGAGCTGGAAGGGACCTTGGAGGTCTTCTAGTCCAGCCCCCTGCTCAAGCAGGAGGACCTGTACCATTTCAGTCAGGTAATTGTCCAGTCTCTTTTTAAAATCTTCCAGCGACGGAGCGCCCACAATTTCTGGTGGCAAGCTGTTCCACTGCTTGATTGTCCTCACTGTCAGGAAGTTTCTCCTTAATTCCAGGTTGCTTCTCTCCTTGATCAGCTTCCATCCATTGTTTCTCCTCCTTCCCTCTGGTGCTCTGGTGAACAACCTGACCCCCTCTTCTTTGTGACAACCCCTCAGATATTGGAATACCAGTGATGGCGAACTTATTGGAATTCGGCTTGTCAAAACATTAGAAAAGTGTCTCCCTTGACACTGCTGACTGTCATCTCCACCCTTCAACCTGGATAAAAGAGGCGTCTCTGGGCTCCTCTTCAGACTCTCCTTTCCTGCAGACCTCCGGGAGTCATAGAGAGGGATCTACTCTTGGGGGTCTCTGGAGCCTCCGAAAATTGGACGCATCATCATAGGCTCACCATCATTGTTCTAGATCAGTCGGTCTCCAAACTTGGCAACTTTAAAACTTGCAGACTTCAACTCCCAGAATTTATAGACTTCAACTCCCAGAATTTGTAGACTTCAACTCCCAGAATTTGTAGACTTCAACTCCCAGAATTTAAGACCTGTAGAATTCAATTCCCAGAATTTCAGACCTATAGACTTCAACTCCCAGAATTTCAGACTTGTAGACTTCAACTCCCAGAATTTCAGACTTGTAGACTTCAATTCCCAGAATTTAAGACCTGTAGACTTCAACTCCCAGAATTTAAGATCTGTAGACTTCAACTCCCAGAATTTAAGACCTGTAGACTTCAACTCCCAGAATTTCAGACTTGTAGACTTCAACTCCCAGAATTTCAGACTTGTAGACTTCAACTCCCAGAATTCCTCAGCTGGCCACCCTCTGAAGTCCACCAGTCTTCCATTTGCCAACTTTGGAGAGCCCTGTTCTAGATAGATTGAGAATAGGGTGAAGAAATGAATCTTCACATTCCAGCTTGCCTTGGGTTGGGGACTGAGAATTCTGCCAGGTTGACCTATTTCACAAATTGTACCTGTGCCCTGTTGCTTCCTCAGGTGACCAAGCGCCTTCATGATGGCGAGTCCACCGTCCAGGGGAACAGCATGCTGGAGGACCGCCCAACATCCAATTTGGAGAAACTGCATTTTATTATTGGGAACGGCATCTTGAGGCCAACTTTAAGGTTAGAAAATCCGGAGGGGGGAAGCAAAAATGCTCCAGGTGTGCATTGCAGAGGTGTACCCCAAAATAACAGCAACCCACTGCCATCAGAGGAGTGTTGTGCCCCAGTATTTAAAGGCCATAACAGGGAAGAGGTCAAAAAAAATCAAGAGGGTGCCACAACTGTGAAATCAAATCCCTGTATTTCACTTATATGTCAGTGGGTTTGGAGAATCTTCCAAGATTTGGAAACTCCAAGATCTGGAGATTCCAAAATTTGGAGATTCCAAGATTTGGAGACTCCAAGATTTGAGATTGCAAGTTTTAGAGATTGCAAGATTTGGAAATTCCAAGATTTGGAGACCCCAAGATTTTTCAAATGGATTTGATTAGCAGTTGAAGTTGGGTTACATCATTCATTTTTGCCTTCTTCTTCTTGTGACAGAGATGAAATCTACTGCCAAATCTGCAAACAACTGACCCAAAACCCTTCCAAAAACAGCCATGCCAGAGGATGGATCCTGGTGTCCTTATGTGTGGGCTGTTTCGCCCCCTCTGAGAAATTTCTCAAGGTAAGCCAAGGATGGGCCATCTTCTCGGCCTGTGTATGGGGATATCTTTGAGGGAAATATTTTGGTTTCCAAGAGCCTCCGAGAACTTGCCTGGATGAAGAACGCTGGCATATTCCATCTTTCTTTGCATTTTGGAGGAGGTGAAGCCTGGAAGAGGCAATTTGTTGGGTCATCAATAGAGACAGAGCATCTAGATCAACCTTTTTAATGCCGTGACCCCCCAACCGGTCGTAAGTCGAGGACTGCTCAACCGGTTGTAAGTCGAGGACTACTCAACTGGTGCAGCACCGTTTGCAGACTGGGACTTTTGGCGGGCTCAGCAGGGCAGAGACAGCCTGAACAATTCCTATTATTATTATTATTAATATTAATATTACTACTACTAATAATAATAATAATCCTTCTCTTTATCTAGATCAGTGGTTCTCAACCTATGGGTCGGGACCCCATTTGGGGTCGAACGACCATTTCACGGGAGTCGCCAAACAATGCAGTCCGCCATTCCCCCCCCCCCTTTTACTTAGCTGTGCTACTCCCTTTTATTCTATTGGCTTTTGAAAGCCAATAGAATAGACTCTCTTGAAGAGAGTCTAATTCTATTGGCTTTCAAAAGCCAATAGAATAAAAGGGAGTAGCACAGCTAAGTAAAAGGGGGGGGGGAATGGCGGACTGCATTGTTTGGCGACTCCCGTGAAATGGTCGTTCGACCCCAAATGGGGTCCCGACCCATAGGTTGAGAACCACTGATCTAGATAAAGAGAAGGATTATTATTATTATTAGTAGTAGTAATATTAATATTAATAATAATAATAATAATTATAATAATAATAATAAGAAGAAGAAGAAGAAGAAGAAGAAGAAGAAGAAGTTGGAAGGGACCTTCGAAGTCATCTAGTCCAACCCCGTACCATTTCGGACAAATGGCTGTCCGGTCTCTTCTTAAAGACTTCCAGTGTTGGCGCATTCACCGTTTCTGGAGGCAGGTGGTTCCACTGGTTAATTGTTCTGACTGTCAGGAAGTTTCTCCTTAGTTCCAGGTTGCTTCTCTCCTAGATTAGTTTCCATCCGTTGCTTCTTGTGCTGCCTTCAGGTTGCCCCTTTCCATTTTGTGTTGTTCACACTTCACCTAGAACATAGCACACAATGCTGGGCTCTCCATTTGAGATTCTTTGTTTCTCGAATAAAAGATTCTTCAGGATAAACAATGCTTCGACACTTGGCTACTTTAAAATGTGCGAACTTCAACTCCCAGAATTCCCCAACTAGTAATAAGATGTTTAGAGTATGCCATATTTGATTTATTTTATAATTGCCAATAGAGAACTGCACCTATTTCTCTTTCTCCATCCTGATGGTATTTCCTGTTGTTGTTGTTTTTCCTTTCCTTTTATTATTTAATGCTGCTGGTCATCGAGCGAATAAATAAATATATTTCACAAAAAAAATTCCACTAAACGTAGAACTAGGCCAGTGGTGGCGAACCTATGGCACGGGTGCCAGAGGTGGCACTCAGAGCTCTCTCTGTGGGCACACGCACCGTCGCCCCAGTCCTAGGCCTTCAGCTGGGTTTTATAAAACCTTTTCGCTTTAGGCCTCCACCACTGTGTGCAAAAAAAAAAAAAGGTTCAATCAATCAGTCAATTTCAACTTCTCGCGGGAAAAAAAAAGATCTTGCAAAGTTGGAATTGACTGATTGAACTTTTTAGTCCCACCCAGTCTGCCGTTACCACCACGGCCACGCCCACCCAATGGGCCACACCCACCCAATGGGCCACACTCACCCGGCACCCGACGATGCATACGTGGGTTTGGGGTTGCAGTTTGGGCACTCGGTCTCTAAAAGGTTGGCCATCCCTGAACTAGGCTAAATTATGGGCTACCATTTCTGATTCCGTTTTTCAAAATGTAACAGTCGTGGCTAAACCTTTCCGTGTCGGTTTTGTGTCTTCACAACAGTATTTAAGGAACTTCATCATCGGGGGTCCCCCGGGGTACGCCCCTTATTGCGAAGAGAGGCTCCGAAGGACGTTCGTCAACGGGACCAGGACGCAGCCGCCAAGCTGGCTGGAGCTTCAGGTAGCCATTTTGAAGATGTACAAAGCTGAAACTCGGGAACAGCCCAGATTTTGTCTGATCCAGGCGCAGCTTCGGATTCTAATTGCGCTGCCTTTGCTGCCAGGCGCCTTTACAGTCTTGTTTTCTCCCGCCAGGCAACCAAATCCACGAAGCCGATCATGCTTCCGGTCACGTTTATGGACGGCACCACCAAGACCTTGTTAACCGACTCGGCCACCACGGCTAAGGAGCTTTGCAGCTCGCTGGCTGACAAGATAAGTCTGAAGGACCACTTTGGCTTCTCGCTTTACATCGCCCTCTTTGACAAGGTAGGAAGCAGCGGTGGGAGAAAAGAGCTCCAGGATGTTGGCTGGGGAATTCTGGGAGTCGAAGTCCACACGTTTTAAACTTGCCAAGGTTGGGAAACCCTGGTTTAACATCCTACCCAGTTGGCTTTCATGCCCAAGGTGGGACTAGAACTCACCGTCTCCTGGTGATTGGCCCAAAGTCATCCAGTTGGCTTTCACGCTTAAGGTGGGACAAGTGATTGGCCAAAGTCACCCAGTTGGTTTTCATGCCTAAAGCGGGACTAGAACTCACCGTCTCCTGGTGATTGGCCCAAAGTCACCCAGCTGGCTTTCATGTCTAAGGCGGAACTAGAACTCACCGTCTCCTGGTGATTGGTTCAAAGTCACCCAACTGGCTTTCATGCCTAAGGTGGGACTAGAACTCACCGTCTCCTGGTGATTGGCCCAAAGTCATCCAATTGGCTTTCACGCTTAAGATGGGACAAATGATTGGCCAAAGTCACCCAGCTGGCTTTCATGTCTAAGGCGGAACTAGAACTCACCGTCTCCTGGTGATTGGCCTAAAGTCACCCAGCTGGCTTTCATGTCTAAGGCGGAACTAGAACTCACCGTCTCCTGGTGATTGGCCTAAAGTCACCCAACTGGCTTTCATGCCTAAGGCAGGACTAGAACTCACCATCTCCTGGTGATTGGCCCAATGTCGCCCATTTGGCTTTCATGCCTAAGGTGAGACTAGAACTCACTATCTCCTGGTGATTGGCCTAAAGTCACCCAACTGGCTTTCATGCCTAAGGCGGAACTAGAACTCACCATCTCCTCATGATTGGCCCAAAGTCGCCAGTTGGTTTTCTCTTTCTCTCCTCTCTGCCAGGTCTCTTCCCTCGGAAGCGGCAGTGATCACGTCATGGATGCCATTTCGCAGTGCGAGCAGTTTGCCAAGGAACAGGGCGCCCAGGAACGCAACGCCCCCTGGCGGCTCTTCTTCAGGAAGGAAATCTTTACCCCCTGGCACAACCCCGCCGACGACTACGTCGCCACCAATCTCATTTACCAGCAGATCGTCAGAGGGGTGAAATTTGGGGAGTACCGGTGTGATAAGGCAAGCTGGCATTTGAAGTCCGTGCCACGCTCAGAATTCGGGGCGAGTCCAAATGTTGGATAGAAAAAGAACTCGGATCCTAAGATGGGGGCATCTGAGGAGAAAGGCTGTGGGGCCAGCATTTTGATGTTATTTTATGGGTGGTGTTTTCCTTTGGTATTACTGAAGCCAGCCACTAAGAGTTGTGTCTCTCGAGAAGGGTTGTCATCTGGTCCAATCAGTCAGTCAGTCAGTCAGTCAATCAATCAATCGTGCAAGTCTTTAGCTTTGGACAGGGCCATTTTGAGCAACAATATTAGTATAGGCCAGGGGTAGGCAACCTTGGCTCTTTTATGACTTGTGGACTTCAACTCCCAGAATTCCTGAGCCAGCCATGCTGAGGGGAAAAGGGAGAGGTTTCCAAGCTGAGCCATGCTGGCTCAGGAATTCTGGGAGTTGAAGTCCGCGAGTCATGAAGGGGCCATAGTTCCCCCATGCTGGCTCAGGAATTCTGGGAGTTGAAGTCCGCAAGTCATGAAGGGGCCACAGTTCCCCCATGCTGGCTCAGGAATTCTGGGAGTTGAAGTCCATGAGTCATGAGGGGGCCATAGTTTCCCCATGCTGGCTGAGGAATTCTGGGAGTTGAAGTCCGCAAGTCGTGAAGAGGCTATAGTTCCCCCATGCTGGCTCAGGAATTCTGGGAGTTGAACTCCACGAGTCATGAAGAGGCTATAGTTCCCCCATGCTGGCTCAGGAATTCTGGGAGTTGAAGTCCGCAAATCATGAGGGGGCCACAATTCCTCCATGCTGGCTGAGGAATTCTGGGAGTTGAAGTCCACGAGTCATGAAGGGGCCATAGTTCTCCCATGCTGGCTCAGGAATTCTGGGAGTTGAAGTCGGCAAATCATGAAGGGGCCATAGTTTCCCCATGCTGGCTCAGGAATTCTGTGAGTTGAAGTCCCTGAGTCATGAAGGGGCCAAAGTTTCCCCCATGCTGGCTCAGGAATTCTGGGAGTTGAAGTCCCCGAGTCATAAAAGAGCCAAGGTTGCCTACCCCTGGTCTAGTGGTTAAGGTACTAGGCGAGAAAGCAGAAGGCTGTGAGTTGTAGTCCCATCTTAGGCATGAAAGCCACCTGGGTGACTTTGGGCCAATCACCAGGAGACGGTGAGTTCTAGTCCCAACTTATGTATAGAAGCCACCAGGTTGACTTTGGGCCAATGACCAGGAGACAGTGGCTTCCAATCCCGCCTTAGGCATGAAACAAACAAACAAATACATGATTGACTGAATGACTGACTGACTGACCGAGTGAATGAATGAATGAACGTTGGAATGCCGCTGGGAAGGCCACAATGTGTGATTATGACCCCGAAACACTGCAATCATGATAAATACACGCCGGCTACCAAGCAGTGAATTTTGATCAGGTAACCGTGGGTACGTTATAATGGTTTTTAAGTGTGAGGACTGATTATAAGTCACTTTTCCAGTAACTTCAAGTGGTCACTAAACAAATGCTTGTAAGTTGAGGACTACCTGTTGTCCATTACAGCACGGGTCCCCAACCTCCGGTCCAGGACCGGCCCCTCCCCCATCAGCAAGCAAAGCCCCATTCCACGCATGTTCGGCATCCAGGCCCCCTCCAGTCCACAGGGAAAAACTGCCCTCCCCAGAACCGGTCCCTGGTGCTCAAAAGGTTGGGGGGATCCCCGCATTGACAGGATGTTTAGATTTATATTTTTTCCTTATTTACGACAATAGTTTTATTGGTTTGTCAAAATACAAAACGCAAAGAGAAATTCAAAAAAGCAACGGGAAACTAGAAGAAGGGGGCGGGAAAGGAAAAAAAATAGCGTAAAGAGGGAAAAGAAAGAAAAAAGACACCAATGTTGTTATCTTGTACCGTGCTAAAGAGAGTCGGAAGATATTGATTGATTGATTGATGGATGGATGGATGGATGGATGGATGGATTGATTGACTGGCTCTTCCTGTATGTCTTTGTAGGAGGAAGACATGGCCGAATTAGCTTCCCAGCAATACTATGTGGATTATGGATCCGAAATGGTCCTGGAGCGCCTCCTGAATCTAATCCCCTCCTACATCCCGGATCGAGAGATCATGCCTTCCAAAACGGTGGAGAAGTGGGCCCAGTTTATCATCGCTGCCCATAAAAAGGTAAAGCAGACCGACTTTCTTTGCAAGGGGAGGGAGGGAAGGTTGAAGCTGCCTGCCGAACTTCGTAGCAGGATCATATGCAGTGGATAAGGCACATGCTAGAACCAAAGGGACCATGAGTTCAAATCCTGCCTTAGGCTTGAAAGCCTGCAGAGTAACTTTGAGCCAATCACCAAAGAGATGGTGAGTTCTAGTCCTTCCTTAGGTCTGAAAGCCAGATGAGTAACTTTGAGCCACAAAAAAGATGGTGGTTCTAGTCCTGCCTGAGGCATGAAAGCCAATTGCCAACTTTGGGCCAGTCATGAAAGAGACGGTGGGTTCTAGTCCCGCCTTAGACATGAAAGCCAATTGCTAACTTTGGGCCAATCACAAAAGAGACGGTGGGTTCTAATCCCGCCTTAGGCATGAAAGCCAATTGCTAACTTTGGGCCAATCACAAAAGAGACGGTGGGTTCTAGTCCCGCCTTAGGCATGAAAGCCAATTGCCTAATTTTGGGCCAATCATGAAAGAGACGGTGGGTTCTAGTCCCGCCTTAGACATGAAAGCCAATTGCTAACTTTGGGCCAATCACAAAAGAGACAGTGGGTTCTAGTCCCGCCTTAGACATGAAAGCCAATTGCTAACTTTGGGCCAATCACAAAAGAGACGGTGGGTTCTAGTCCCGCCTTAGGCATGAAAGCCAATTGCTAACTTTGGGCCAATCACAAAAGAGACAGTGGGTTCTAGTCCCGCCTTAGGCATGAAAGCCAATTGCCTAATTTTGGGCCAATCACAAAAGAGACGGTGGGTTCTAGTCCCACCTTAGGCATGAAAGCCAATTGCTAACTTTGGGCCAGTCACAAAAGAGACGGTGGGTTCTAGTCCCACCTTAGGCATGAAAGCCAATTGCCTAATTTTGGGCCAATCACCAAAGAGATGGTGGGTTCTAGTCCTGCCTAAGGCATGAAAACCAGCTGAGTAACTTTGAGCCAATCACCAAAGAGATGGTGGGTTCTAGTCCCGCCTTAGGCATGAAAGCCAATTGCCTAACTTTGGGCCAATCACGAAAGAGATGGTGGGTTCTAATCCTGCCTTCAGCATGACAGCCAGCTGAGTAACTTTGAGTCAATCACCAGGAGACTCTGAGTTCAAGTCCCACCTTAGGCATAAAAACTGGCTGGGTGACTTTGGGCTGGTCACTCTCTCTCTCTCTCAGCCCAACCTACCTCACAGGGCTGTTGTGGGGAAAATAGGCAGAGGATGGTATGAGATATGTTCACTGCCTTGAGCTATTTGTAAAATTAATAAAAGTGGGATATATATGAATGAATGAATGAATGAACGAATGAATGAACAAACGTGAGTTGTAAATGAGCTATCAAATTCCCCGTCCCTTTTAGGCATCTAAACAGAGGCCAAGTCCCAAAAATTGGATGGAGTTGGGCATTATCCAAATTGAATGAAATAAATACATAAATTTATTTACATGGTTTCCCCAGCTGCAATGTAAGGCTGTGAAAGTTGGACCATAAGAAAGGCTGAGCACCAAAAGAAGTGAGGCCTTTGAACTCTGGTGCTGGAGAAGACTCCTGCCTTGGACTGCAAGGCGATCCAACCGGTCAGCCCTGGAGGAGATCAACCCCGACTGCTCTTTAGAAGGCCAGATCCTGAAGTTGAAACTCAAGTCCTTTGGCCACCTAATGAGAAGGAAGGACTCCCTGGAGAAGAACCTGATGCTGGGAAAGATGGAGGGCAAGAGAAGAAGAAGGGGACGACAGAGAAGGAGGTGGCTGGATGGAGTCCCTGAAGCAGGAGGCGTGAGCTTCAATGGACTCCAGAAGATGGTAGAAGACAGGAAGGCCTGGAGGAACGTTGTCCATGGGGTCGCGATGGGTCAGACACGACTTCGCAACTAACAACAACAAATTATTTTTATGTATTTATTACATTTATATGCCGCCAAACTCTGAATTTCTCTTCGTGGCACTGCTGAACTGGTTTTTCAGGAGAGCAAGCAGAATGAATGCTGTTTCCTGTTGCACATTCTTCCACCTGTTTTTGAACACACGTTTAAACACCGGAATGGGCTCACTTTACGGACGCTAAACGAATACGATAATGCTAAGGAATATAAAGCAGGCTCTCGTCCTTGCTAACCTAAGAGAAGAGCAACAAAGATGATCAGGGGACTGGAAGCTAAAATGTATGAAGAACGGTTGCTGGAATTGGGTATATCTGGTTTAATGATATTTATGAGCCGAGGTGGCGCAGCAGTTAGAGTGCAGTACTGCAGGCCACTTTAGCTAACTGTGTTCAGCAGGTCAGCGGTTCAAATCTCACCGGCTCAAGGTTGACTCAGCCTTCCATCCTTCTGGGGTAGGTAAAATGAGGACCCAGATTGTTGGGGGCAATGTAAATATATATATACATTGCTTACTGGTGTACACCGCTTAGAGAGTGCTTGCACTTAAAGCGGTATATAAATCTCATTAAATAAATAAATGAATGAATGAATGAATGAATGAATGAATGAAAAGAAGGACTAAGAAAGACATGATAGCAGTGTTCCAGTATCTCAGGGGCTGCCCCAAAGAAGAGAGAGTCAAGCTACTCTCCAAAGCACCTGAAGGCAGGAGAAGAAGCAATGGATGGAAACTAATCAAGGAGAGAAGCAACCTAGAACTAAGGAGAAACTTCCTGACAGTGAGAACAATTAACCAGTGGAACAACCTGCCTCCAGAAGCGGTGAATGCTCCAACACTGGAAGTTTTTAAGAAGAGACTGGACAGCCATTTGTCTGAAATGGTATAGGATTTCCTGCCTGAGCAGGGGGTTGGTCTAGATGACCTCCAAGGTCCCTTCCAGCTCTTCTGCGGTTCTGTTAATCCATGTCAACAATCAAGATTTTTTTTCTTTGCCTTCCAGGGAATTTATACTCAGAAGAGAGTGGACCCAAAGCGCGTTAAAGAGGAGGTGGTGGATTTTGCTCGTTTTAAGTGGCCTTTGCTGTTCTCCAGATTCTACGAAGCATTTAAGTTTTCAGGTAAGCCAAGCGTTTCCCTTCGCCCGAAGACCGCGAACTCACGCTACTGCACAACAGGTAGGGATCACTAGCGCAATTGTGTTGTCAACTTTTTCCTGACCCCCAAGGGTTCCTCTGCAGGCATTTGGCAAGCCCCAAGCATTTGTGTCAGAGTGTGCACAGTCTGATTGCGCTAACCCAGGAGTAAACACAGTAAACAGTGGTCTATAGCAGGGCTTTTCAACCTTTTCACCCCTTGTGCCACTTTTAGGATATGGCAATATCTGAGTACCACCCAGTCGCCTAGCAAGGTGTGAAAAACTTGATCACCAACAAGAAAAAAGGGGAAAAGTTATAAAGTACAGGTAGTCCTCGACTTACAACAGTTTGCTTAGTGACTGTTTGAAGTTACAATGACACTAAAAAAAGTGCCCCCCAAGCCACAGCCGAGCAAGACACCTGCCTGCCCACTTGGCTGCGTTCTTCCTCCTGTCCAAGGTTTTCATTGTTGTGAGCATTTCTGTTGAGGATTGGCAGTGGGGGTGGGGTGGGGGGGTGTTTGGTTTTTATTCCCCCCATCTGCTGGGTGGTTGCAGCAGGTTTTAGTCACTTCACATGACCCTGGGACACTGTGACCGTCATAAATATGAATCAGTGGCCAAGCATCTGAATGTAAATCACAAGACCCTGGAGATGCTGTAACATTCCAGCTGATCGGCGCTTCTTCTGGGCTCAGCAGAAGCGCCAGGATCAGTGCAGAGCTCCAGCTGGAGCCTGGCACTGATCCTGGTACTTCCACTGAGCCCTGACAGCTCCGAAGAAGCACCGATCAGCTGGAAAGCGGCACTGATCCTGGCGCTTCCGCTGAGCCCTGACAGCCCTGCAGTTCCAGCCATCTCTCACTCAGGTTTGTGCGGTGCTGCCACCGGTTCAGCTCATTCCCCTTCCCTGCTATTTTTCTAGGATGTTTGCGTACCACCTACCAGGTGCCAATGTACCACAGGTGGTACCCGTACCACTGGTTGAAAAGCCCTGGTCTATAGTAAAGGGTGGTTTATCTTACACTATCTACAATATCATACACCAGGAACAATATACATACAGGTGTTAATACAGCGGGCTCCAACACACCGCAGTTATAGCAGGAAAACAGAAGAGAGAGCATACATCAGTGGAGGCTTCCCTTTATACAACGGCTCTTAAAGAGACTCAGACCCTGCTGAGTCGTTCCCATCATTGCATCTTAAATCTTACGTTACATAAGCTGGTTAGCTGTTAAATCAGGGGTCTTCAAACTTGGCCCTTTTATGACTTGTGGACTTCAACTCCCAGAAGGAAAGAAGGAAAAGAATGACGGAGGCATGGAGGAAGGGTGAAAGGAAGGAAAAAAGGAAGGAAGGAAAATAATGACAGGGAGGGATGGAGGAAGGGTGAAAAATGGGGAAAGGGACAAAGGAAGAAAAGGAGAGGTAGGGAAGAAAGAAGTGACAATAGAACAGAACAGAATATAGTATAGAATAGAATAGAATAGAATAGAATAGAATAGAATAGAATAGAATAGAATAGAAGTGGAAGGGACCTTGTGGGTCATCTAGTCCAACCCCCAGCCCACGCAGGAGACCCTACACCATTTCTGACCGATGGCAGCCCAGTCTCTTCTTGAAGCTCTCACAGCCCAAGGACCCTTTTGTAAGTCACTTTTTTTTCAGTGCCGTTGTAACAGTCTAACGGTCGCTAAACGAACGATTGTAAGTCGAGGACTATCTATGAACCTGTGCGTTAAAGAGGCAAACCGCCCTTCCTTTGCGCAAGATGCTTCAAGGTGAGACCACACCTGCCTTTCCTTCAGTTTTTTTTCTGCATTTTTCTTTTTTTCCCCCTAACACCAGGTCCCAGCCTTCCGCAAAATGAGCTGATTGTAGCTGTGAACTGGACCGGGGTCTATTTTGTAGATGAACAAGAACAGGTGCTTCTGGAATATTCCTTCCCAGAAATAACTGCCGTCTCCAGCAATAGGTAAGACCTTAAAAATAAAAAAAGAAACAGGTAATCCATAACTGCACGAACAGTGCCCTAAGGAAGCAGTTCTCAACCTCACCAACTTTAAGATGGGTGGACTTCAACTCCCAGAATTCCCCAGCCAGCATGGCTGGCTGGGGAATTCTGGGAGTTGACGTCCATCCATCTTAAAGTTGCCAACACTGTTCTCAGTGGTAATTTCTAATTTTTTACAGAATGGGATTCTGACAGGCAGTCTTAAAGTCTTGTATGTCAGCCTCATTCTGCCCGCGGGCAAAATTGGTGATAATTCCTCACCAGCAAATCAGAATTCTGAAGCCAAAGCTCAGAACACAGACAAACCTCCAAGTGGCCTCAACGACCCTCTAAAACAGTGGTTCTCAACCTTTTTAATGCCGCAACCCCCCAACCGGTTGTAAGTCGAGGACTACTCAACCGGTCGTAAGTCCAGGACTACTCAACTGGTGCAGCACCGTTTGCAGAATGGGACTTTTGGCGGGCTCAGCAGGGCAGAGAAAGCCTGGACAATTCCTATTGGCTTTTGAAAGCCAATAGAATAAAAGGGAGTAGCACAGCTAAGGAAAAGGGGGGGGGGGGAATGGCGGACTGTGTTGTTTGGTGACCCCCGTGAAATGGTCATTCGACCCCAAATGGGGTCCCGACCCACAGGTTGAGAACCACTGCTCTAAAAGGAGGCAAATGACCAGCAGTCTGCAAGGAGTATAAATCCTGCCATTCCCCACCATCCCGTCAGAGCTGAAGAAGCTTCTTGGGTATCTATGCAGCTTCTCCATCCTCCAGGTCAGGGTTGTCCCAAAGGTGCTTTTTCAGGAGACAACTGCACTTCCTTGTTTTCCTTTGAAGATGTTTCGCTTCTCATCCATGAAGCTTCTTCAGCTCTGACTGGATGGTGGGGAAATGGAAGGATTTATCCTCCTTGCGGAAAAACTGGTCATTTGCATCCTTTTTGAGAGTCGTTGAGACCACCTGGAGGTTTATCTGTGTCCTCTGGATCACCCTGAGTGCTGCAAATGGGTGTGAAGCCTTCTTGGAACTACTGAAAGGATTGTGTTATAGACTGGAGGTGGATGATGTTGTTTATATTTATATTCCTTGTAGACAGCTGGTCATTTGCATCCTTTTAGAGAGTCGTTGAGGCCACTTGGAGGTTTATCTGTGCCCTCAGGATTACCTGAGTGGTGGAAATGGGCCTGGAGCTTTCTTGGGACTGCTGAAAGGACCGTGTTGTAAACTGTAGACAGTCCTTACAGCAGTTCCAAGAAGGCTCCACAGCCATTTGCACCACTCAGATGATCCTGAGGTAAACCTCCAAGTGGCCTCAACGACTCTCTAAAAGAAGGCAAATGACCAGCTGTCTGCAAGGAGTATAAATCCTGCCATTCCCCACCATCCAGTCAGAGCTTGAAAAGCTTCTTGGATGTCCATGGAGATTCTTCGTCCCCCAGGTCCTGGTTGTCCCAAAGGTGCTTTTTTTCACGAGGCAAATGGACTTTCTTGTTCTTCTTTGAAGACGTTTCGCTTCTCATCCATGAAGCTTCTTCAGCTCTGACCGGATGGTGGGGAAATGGAAGGATTTATCCTCCTTGCAGAAAAACTGGTCATTTGCATCCTTTTTGAGAGTCGTTGAGACCACCTGGAGGTTTATCTGTGTCCTCTGGATCACCCTGAGTGCTGCAAATGGGTGTGGAGCCTTCTTGGAACTGCTGAAAGGATTGTGTTGTAGACTAGAGATGGATGATGTCATTTATATTTATATTCCTTGTAGACAGCTGGTCATTTGCCTCCTTTTTAAAGGGTTGTTGAGGCCACTTGGAGATTTATCTGTGTCCTCAGGGTCATCTGAGTGGTGCAAATGGGTGTGAAGCCTTCTTGGAACTACTCAAAGGATTGTGTTGTAGACTGGAGATGGATGATGTTGTTTATATTTATATTCCTTGTAGACAGCTGGTCATTTGCCTCCTTTTTAAAGGGTTGTTGAGGCCCCTTGGAGGTTTATCTGTGTCCCGAGTGTCACCTGAGTGGTGCAAATGGCTGTAGAGCCTTCTTGGAACTGCGGAAAGGATTGTGTTGTAGACTGGAGATAGATAGTTCACTCATTTGCACCACTCGGCTGATCCTGAGGACACAGGTAAGCCTCCAAGTGGCCTCAACGACCCGCTAAAAGAATGCAAATGACCAGTTTTTTTCTGCAAGGAGGATAAATCCTTCCCTTCCCCACCCTCCAGTCAGAGCCGAAGAAGCTTCTCGGATGAGAAGCGAAACGTCTTCAAAAGAAAAACAAGGAAGTCCAGTTGTGTTCTGAAAAAACCCACCTTTGGGGCAACCTGGAGGACTGAGAATCTTCCTAGACGTGTGTGTGTGTGTGTGTGTGTGTGTGTGTGTGTGTGTGTGTGTGTGTGATGGACACACAAAGAGTCCACCTGAAGTCATCTACTTCCTTCTGCAGGATTCTTTCTCTAACAGCCAGGCCGTGTTCGCCCAAGTTAGCCAGGCCGATATTTTTTGCCGAGGGGTTGGGAAGTCTTCTAGCGTGAAATGTTGAGTCTGCTCTGCCAGCTGATCTCTTTCCCTTTTTTTTTTCCCTCCTGTTTTCGGCAGCGGAGGAAAACTCCCGGGACAGAGTTTCACCCTGGCGACCATCAAAGGGGACGAGTACACCTTCACCTCCAACAACGCAGAGGACATCCGGGACCTGGTGGTCACCTTCCTGGAAGGGCTGAGAAAGAGATCGAAATATGTGGTGACGCTGCAAGACAATCCGAATCCGGGTGAGCCGAGGAGCCAGCCGGAAGGGGTTTTGAAGGCAATGGAGGGAGTTCATTCCTCAAGTGAAAAAAGCTTTCCTTTTCTTTTCCTCTCCTTCCCTTTTTTCTCCCTTCCTTCCTTCCTTCCTTCCTCCCTCCCTCCCTCACCTCTCCTCCCTCACCCCTTGCCCTTCCATCTCTCGCCTTCCTTCTTTCTTTTCCTTTTCTTTCCTTTTCTCCTATCTTCTTCCTCTTTCTTTGATGCCCTTTCCTTCCTTCCTTTCCTTTCTTCCTTCCCTGCTCTCACCCTTCCATTTCTCTCTCTCTTTCTTTCTTTCTTTCTTTCTTTCTTTCTTTCTTTCTTTCTTACCTTCCTTCCTTCCTTCTTTCCTTCCTTCCCTACTCACTCTCAGCCCTCGCCCTTCCATCTCTCTTTCTTTCTCTTTTTCTTTCTTTCTCTCTTTCTTTTTCTTTCTTCCCTTCCTTCCTTCCTTCTTTCCTTCCTTCCCTACTCACCCTCACCCCTCACCCTTTCATCTCTTTCCTTTCTTCCTCCTTTCCATTTTCTTTCCTCCTGTCTTCTTCCTCTTCCTTTGATGCACTTTTTCTCCCTTCCTTCTTTCCTTCTTTTCTTTATTTCCTTCCTGCCTTCCTTCCCTACTCTCACCTTCACACCACACCCTTCCATCTCTCTTTCTTTCCTTTCTTCCTCCTTTCCTTTTTCTTTCATTTTCTCCCTTCCCCCTTCCTCCTAACTTCTTCCTCTTCCTTTGATGTCCTTCCTTCCTTCCTCCCTCCCTCCCTCCCTTCCTCCCTTCCTTCCTTCCCTCCTTTTCTTTCTTTCCTATTCGGACAATGGATCAGCTTAACAACCTCTGTATTTGCTTAACGCTTTAATGACCACAGTGATTCAATTAATCACCAGCACAAAAAAAAAAAAAGATTAATTAGCGTTCACGTGTTGCTCTCCTTACAGCTACCACAGGACCATAATTTTGGGCTGAAATACGGTCATACCTGAGAGCTGCTGCTGGCTGGGCAATTCTAGGAGTTGAAGTCGCTTCTCTTAAAGCTGCTAACGTTGAGAAACATTAGTCTAGTTCAGGGGTCGGCAACCTGGGCTCTTTCATGACTCGTGGACTTCAACTCCCAGAATTCCTGAGCCAGCCAAGCTGAGGGGAAAGGGAGAGGTTTCCAAGCTGAGCCATGCCGGCTCAGGAATTCTGGGAGTTGAAGTCCCCAAGTCATGAAGGGGCCATAGTTCCCCCATGCTGGCTGAGGAATTCTGGGAGTTGAAGTCCATGAATCATAAAAGAGCCAAGGTTGCCTACCCCTGTTCTAGTTCGTCTTTGGTCTTAAGAGATTCATTGGTCAGGAGCCCAGATGATCATGGCAACCACAGAGAGGCCTTCTCTAAATGGACACCAGATAGAATAGAATAGAATAGAACAGAATAGAAATCTGGAAGGGACACTGTGGGTCTTCTAGTCCAGCCCCCTGCTCAAGCAGGAGAACCTATACCATTTCGGACAAGTGGTTGTCTAGTCTCTTCTTAAAAACCTCCAGTGATGGAGCACCCACGATTTCTGGAGGCAGGCAGTTCCACTGGTTAATTGTCCTCACTGTCAGGAAGTTTCTCCTTAATTCCAGGTTGCTTCTCTCCTTGATGAGTTTCCAACCATTGTTTCTCGTCCTGCCCTCTGATGCTCTGGAGAACAACCTGACCCCCCCCCCCCCTTCCTTGTGGCAGCCCCTCAGATACTGATCTCTCTCTTGCCCTCCCCGCTGAGATTTTCCAATTCTGTTCTCCTTCCAGCTGGTGATGATTCCGGTTTTCTCAGCTTCCTGAAAGGAGATTTGCTGATTCTGGACCAAGACACGGGCGAAAATGTGATGAACTCCGGCTGGGCCAACGGACTCAATGAACGGACCAAGCAGAAGGGAGACTTTCCAACCGATTCGGTCTACGTCCTACCCACGATGACCATGCCTCCCCCGGACATTGTGGTAAAGCCCTTGACACACTCTTGAACTGGGGAAAAAATGGGCTCTTCCTGGGGAAGCCCTCCAGAGTCACTTGGTCGAGCTGGGAGGCCGTAGAAAAGGAAGGAAGGAAGGAAGGAAGGAAGGAAGGAAGGAAGGAAGGAAGGAAGGAGGGAGGGAGGGAGGGAGGGAGGGAGGGAGGGAAGAAGGAAGGAAGGAAGGAAGGAAGGAAGGGGAGGAGGAGGAGGAGGAGGAGGGGAGGGAGGAAGGAAGGAAGGAAGGAGGGGGGAGGGAGGGAGGAAGGAAGGAAGGAAGGAAGGAAAGAAGGAGGGAAGGAAGGAAGGAAGGAAGGAAGGAAAGAAGGAAGGAAGGAAGGAAAGAAGGAAGGAGGGGAGGGAGGAAGGAAGAAAGGAGGGAGGGAGGGAGGAAGGAAAGAAGGAAGGAAGGAAGCCATTCTCCAAAGCGCCTGAAGGCAGAAGAAAAAGCAACGGATGGAAATGAATCAAGGAGGGAAGCAACCTTGGAATTAAGGAAAATTTCTTGATATGGAGAACAATTAACCAGTGGAACTGCTTGCCTCCAGAAGTTGTGGGTGCTCCATCCCTGGAGGTTTTTAAGGAGAGATTGGGCAGCCATTTGTCTGGAATGGTATAGGGTTTCCTGCCTGAGCAAAAGGTTGGACTAGAAGACCTCCAAGGTCCCTTCCAACTTTGTTATTCTGTTCTGTTCCGTTCCGTTATGAATGAATGAATGAATGAACAAATTTCTATTTTCCAAGACTGTTCTGTGGGCTCCTTGGTGCTCTCTGAGCTTGGCTGTTTTCTTGCAGACATTTCATGACCCAGTTAGGTAACATCATCAGTGCTAGAAGGGAGGGAGGTTTGTGTAGGGTTTCCTGCCTGAGCAGGGGGTTGGACTAGATGACCTCCAAGGTCCCTTCCAACTTTACTACTACTACTACTACTACTACTACTACTACTACTACTACTACTATTATTATTATTATTATTATTATTATTATTATTATTATTATTATTATTATTATCTTACTCATTTTCACTCCAGCTTTATTTGCTCTAACTAACTTGCTTGTTCCTCCAGGCTTTGGTTACTATGACTCCGAATCAGAGGCAAGAAGTCATAAGGACATCTCAGCTGGTGATGAGTGACAGCGAAGAGAAGATAAAGCCCTACACCTTGGAAGAATTCTCCTACGATTATTTTAGGTAATGTTTGTTTTATATTGAGCGTAATGCCAGAAACACTTGCTGAGTTCAAATCACTGAAGAGTTGATTATTGCTATCTATCTACAACGGGGGTCTTCAAACTTGGCCCTTTTATGACTTGTAGACTTCATTAAGTTTGAAGACCCCTGACGTAGCCACTTCTTCGCTTAATGATCAAGTAGCCGGCCCCAATTGTAGTCACTAAACGAGGACTATCTGTATGCTGTTTATATGCTATTATTAGATGTGATATGATTTTACTGTCTTTGAGATTATAGATCAGGGGTCTTCAAACTTGGCCCTTTGATGACTTGTGGACTTCAACTCCCAGAATTCCTCAGCCAGGCACGCCTGGCTGAGGAATTCTGGGAGTTGAAGTCCACAAGTCATCAAAGGGCCAAGTTTGAAGACCCCTGATCTACAAGAATCCGGTCAAGTACAGGTAGTCCTCGACCTACGATGGCAATTGAGTCCAAAATTTCTGTTACTAAGTGAGGCATTTGTTAGCTGAGTTTTACCCGATTTTACAACCAGGCACACTGGCTGGGAGCTGAAGTCCACTAGTCATAAAAGGGCCAAGTTTGAAGACCTCTAGACTAAACAGTCACCTGTCTGAAATAGTATAGGTTCTCCTACTCGAGCGAGGGGCTGGACTAGAAGACCTCCAAGGTCCCTTCCAGCTCTATTCCATTCCATCCTATTCCACTCCATTCCATATTTTCTATTCCATTCCATTCCATTCCATATTTTCTATTCTATTCTATTCTATTCTATTCTATTCTATTCTATTCTATTCTATTCTATTCTATTCCTTATTCTGTCCTATTCCCTATTCCAGTGATGGCAAACCTTTTAGAGTCCGAGTGCCCAAACTACAACGCAAAACCCACTTATGCATCGTCGGGTGCCGGATGGGTGTGGCCCATTGGGTGGGTATGGCTACGGTGGTAACGGCAGATTGGATGGGACTAAAAAGTTCAATCAATTCCAACTTTGCAAGATCTTTTTTTTCTCCGGGAAAAGTTGAAATTGACTGATTGCGAAAAGGTTTTACAGAACCCAGCTGAAGGCCTAGGACTGGGGCGACGGCCCGTGTGCCCACAGAGAGGGCTCTGAGTGCCACCTCTGGCACCCGTGCCATAGATTTGCCACCACTGCCCTATTCTATTCTATTCTATTCTCTATTTGTTATTCTATTCTATTCCTTATTCTGTCCTGTTCCCTATTCTATTCTATTCTATTCTATTCTATTCTATTCTATTCTATTCTCTATTTCCTATTCTATTCTATTCCTTATTCTGTCCTGTTCCCTATTCTATTCTATTCTATTCTATTCTATTCTATTCTCTATTTCCTATTCTATTCTATTCCTTATTCTGTCCTGTTCCCTATTCTATTCTATTCTATTCTATTCTATTCTATTCTATTCTATTCTCTATTTGTTATTCTATTCTATTCCTTATTCTGTCCTGTTCCCTATTCTATTCTATTCTATTCTATTCTATTCTATTCTATTCTATTCTATTCTATTCTATTCTCTATTTCCTATTCTATTCTATTCCTTATTCTGTCCTGTTCCCAATTCTATTCTATTCTATTCTATTCTGTTCTGTTCTGTTCTGTTCTGTTCTATTCTATTCTATTCTATTCTATTCTATTCTAAACTATGGCTTAATAGTGGTGGGGAAAAAAAGTAACCCCCCCCCAGCTTGTTAACAGGATCATGTTAGGATCTGCCCTTCTATAATAATAATAATAATTATAATAATAATAATATAAAAACAACACCAGTAACAACAACAACAACAACTGAAAGAAGCAACCTGGAATTAAGGAGAAATTTCCTACCAGTGAGAACATCTTGTCCCCAGACCTTTAACACCGTCAAAATTCCACATTTGGCTGACTGAGCTACAAACCATAATTAGAAATGTACATTTTCTTTTCTGCATCCCTCAGGCAAGGAACACAATCCTAGGACCCCCCCCCCGCACACACACACATGCAAGCGCACCTTGACCCGTTGTGCCGTTTCCCCAAGCCATCCCGGCTGGCAGCCCGTGCCAAGGCTGACCGCCTGTCTTCCTTTTGGCCAGGCCTCCCCCCAAGCACACCCTGAGCAGGGTGATGATCACCAAGAACCGAGGGAAGGACAAGCTCTGGTCCTACACGAGGGAGCCGATCAAGCAGCCTTTGCTGAAGAAGATTCTGAGCAGCGAAGAGCTATCTCAAGAAGCATGCATGGCTTTCATTGATATCCTTCTGAGTTCAGATTCAAGAGGGGGTCCTTTCTTCTGCCTGAGAAACATCCTAGGGCAGGGGTCCCCAACCCCCCCCCCCCCGGTCCGTGGGCCGTGGCATGCCAGCAACCGGTCCACACACACAAGCAAAGCCCCATCCACAGGATGCAGGCAGCACATAAAACCGTGCACTCTCCAGTCCGTGGAAAAAACTCTCTCCACAGAACCGGTCCCTGGTGCCCAAAAGGATAGTCCAGGGATGGCGAACCTTTTAGAGACCGAGTGCCCAAACTGCAACCCAAAACCCACGTATGCATTGTTGGGTGCCGGGTGGGCGTGGCCCACTGGATGGGCGTGGCTGTGGTGGCAACGCCAGACTGGGTGGGACTAAAAAGTTCAATCAGTCAATTCCAACTTTGCAAGATCTTTTTTTTTCCCCGCGAGAAGTTGGAATTGACTGATTGATTGAAACCCCCCCCCTTTTGTTTTTTTTGCACACAGCGGTGGGGGCCTAAAGCGAAAAGGTTTTATAAAACCCACCTGAAGGCCTAGGACTGGGGCGATGGTGCGTGTGCCCACAGAGAGGGCTCTGAGTGACGCCTCTGGCACCCGTGCCATAGGTTCGCCACCACTGGGTTAGGAACTTCTGCCCTAGGGGGGAGGGTCTGATGCTGGTTTCCTAAGAATATAAACCCGGCCTTGCTGGATGGAACTGCAATCCCATTCTACTGCACAATCACTTAAATAGGAGCCAGCCGTGTGCTGCAGCTGCCAAAAAAGCCAACACAGCCCCAGGCTGCATCAACAGAGGGATAGAATCAAGATCATGTGAAGTGTTAATACCACTTTACAAGACCTTGGTAAGGCCACACTTGGAATACAGCATCCAGTTTTGGTCACCACGAAGTAAAAAAGATGTTGAAACTCTAGAAAGAGGGCAGAGAAGAGCAACAAAGAGGATCAGGGGACTGGAGGGTAAAACATACGAACTCAGGGGCTGCCACAAAGAAAAGTTGGGGGTCAAGCTATTCTCCAAAGCCCAGAAGGCAAGACAAGAAGCAAGCAAGAAATGACATTAGAATAGAACAGAGAACAGGAATAGAGTAGAGTAGAGTAGAGTAGAATAGAATAGAATAGAATAGAATAGAATAGAATAGAATAGAATAGAATAGAATAGAATAGAATAGAATAGAATAGAATAGAAAAGAATAGAATAGTTGGAAGGGAATAGAATAGAATAGAATAGAATAGAATAGAATAGAATAGAATAGAATAGAATAGAATAGAATAGTTGGAAGGGAATAGAATAGAATAGAATAGAATAGAATAGAATAGAAAAGAATAGAATAGTTGGAAGGGAATAGAATAGAATAGAATAGAATAGAATAGAATAGAATAGAATAGAATAGAATAGAATAGAATAGAATAGAATAGAATAATAGAGTAGAATAGAATAGATAGGGAAAAGGACAGAATAAGGAATAGAATAGAAGAATAGAATAGAACAGAACAGAACAGAACAGAATAGGAATGGAATAGAATAGAATAGAATAGAACAGAACAGAACAGAACAGAATAGAATGGAATGGAGTGGAATAGAATAGAATAGAATAGAATAGAATAGGGAAAAGGACAGAATAAGGAATAGAATAGAAGAATAGAATAGAACAGAACGGAACAGAACAGAACAGAATAGAATAGAATAGAATGAAGAGAGATGGAATGGAATAGAGTAGAATAGAATAGAATAGAATAGAATAGAATAGAATAGAATAGAATAGAATAGAATAGAATACTTTATTTGGCCCAGTGTGATTAGACACACAAGGAATTTGTCTCCGGTGCAGTAGATCCCATTGTACGTTCAAAGCAACAGAGTAATAATAGCCACAATAATGATCCCAATAAGAGCAGGTAGTAGAAAAGATGAGAAGGGTAATAAGGATAATACTGCAGCCGTACAACATGGGGGGATTTACTTAAACACAGGACCATAGTGTGAGCATTCATTGTCCAGCAGAGGGATGACAAGGAGGCAGGGAAGGGAGGACCTGAAAGAGACGGAGGGGAGGACTGCTTGTCCTCAATCATATCCTTAACCTGTACACCCATCCTGAAATACATGGGCGATTACCCTTCCAAAAGGACCCGCTCGGTGAACGAGCTAACAGATCAAATATTTGAAGGCGCCCTGAAGGCCGAAGCCCTCCGAGACGAGATTTACTCGCAGATCCTGAAGCAGTTGACGGACAACCACGTCAAGTAAGTGTCGAGCTTCAAACAAACTTGATGCTGCCTCTGCTTCAGCCGTTGCTGTTTCCTAGCTTGCTTCCAGACCCAGGAGGGGGGGGGAGCAGGGATGAGTGGAATGTGCAGGGCAGGCGTGGAGTTGCTCGGTCTGGAAATCGAGGTCATCCGAGAACCATTGGCTGGGAGCTGAAGATGTTCTCCTCATAGTTGTGTGAAGTTGAATTGGGGAGTTGTGACCCGCACTGTCAGGAGAAAGGGGAGTTTCTACACTTCGAATGTAATGATCTGGCGCCAATTTAGCCAAGAGCTGGTTTCCCATTCGTCGGTGCCGACAGGGTGTGCTCAATAAAGTTGTGCATTAGAGATTGGAATGACTCAGCTGTGCTCCACTGTTGGACTATTCATGAGCCGGAAGAGTCATGTGGTAACTCAGTCAGCCAATGTGAAGAAAGTGCTACTGAGTCTGTGCAAAAGAGCATTGAGTTAGGACAGTTAGACAGCTTTGCTGGCTGAGGAATTCTGGGAATTGAAGTCCACAAGTCTTAAAAGTTGCCAAGGTTGAGAACCCCTGAGTTAGGAGCTGGATTTCCAGTCTCAAGCTTGTCTCTGTATCTCTCTGTAAGAAGTCTTCCATTGAGCTATGTTGCTGTAAAGAAGAATGTATGGTATTGTAAATATTTTGATATTTATTTATTTATTTTATTTATTTATGAGACTTATATACCGCTTTAAGTGCAAGCACTCTCTAAGCGGTGTACACCAGTAAGCAATGTATATATATATTTACATTGCCCCCAACAATCTGGGTCCTCATTTTACCTACCCCGGAAGGATGGAAGGCTGAGTCAACCTTGAGCCGGTGAGATTTGAACCGCTGACCTGCTGAACACAGTCAGCTAAAGTGGCCTGCAGTACTGCACTCTAACTGCTGCGCCACCTCGGCTCCTTTTATATGAATATAAAACAGTGGTTCTCAACCTTTTTAATGCCGCGACCCCCAACCAGTCGTAAGTCGAGGACTACTCAACCGGTCGTAAGTCGGGGACTACTCAACTGGTGCAGCACCGTTTGCAGACTGGGGCTTTTGGCGGGCTCAGCAGGGCAGAGACAGCCTGGACAATTCCTATTGGCTTTTGAAAGCCAATAGAACTAGACTCTGTTCAAGAGAGTCTATTCTATTGGCTTTCGAAAGCCAATAGAATAAAAGGGAGTAGCACAGCTAAGGAAAAGGGGGAAAAAAATGGCGGACTGCGTTGTTTGGCGACCCCCGTGAAATGGTCGTTCGGCCCCAAATGGGGTCCCGATCCACAGGTTGAGAACCGCTGATATAAAGAAATGTATTTGAATCAGCTAAATGCAGTCAACTGTGAGAGCTTCTGATTTACTTTTCACCAACAGAGAAATTGAAATTCTCTGACATTCACTTTGTTGGGATCGTCAGTCGGAATATTATTGTTGTTGTTATCGTTATTGTTGATCATCGCGCAGTCGGCCAGATGTTCAGACTGGGTTTGGCATTTTTGTCTACCTCTCCAGTCCTTCCTAAGGACCTGGGATAGGCAGATGTGGATATTTGAATTGAGGGCCTTCCAGATTTCCTCGCAGGATGGGAGCAGTTCCTAGGAAGGCCGCCTTTTGTAATTGACCGTTGACAAATTCACCATCAGAGTCTCTTATCTTTTCTAGAATATTATAGTGTGCTTTATATCGGGTCTCCTGCTTGGGGTCTCCTGTTTGGGCAGGGGGTTGGACTAGATGGCCTACAAGGTCCCTTTCAACTCTGTTCTTCCAATTCTATATTCCTTGCGGAAAAGGTACAGCGAAGAAAAAGGCTGGGAACTGCTCTGGCTGTGCAGCGGCCTCTTTGCGCCCAGTAACGTCCTGCTTCTTCACGTCCAGAGATTCGTCCAGTCTCGGAGGCATCACCCGCTCGCCCCCGACTGCCTGCAGAGGCTGCAGAAAGCGCTGAGGTTCGTGTTTGTGGCCCAAAATAGCAATGTCTAGAGCCCTTAGACCAGGGGTTCTCAACCTTTTTAATGCCGCGACCCCCAACCGGTCGTAAGTCAAGGACTACTCAAACGGTCGTAAGTCGAGGACTACTCAACTGGTGCAGCACTGTTTGCAGAATGGGACTTTTGGCGGGCTCAGCAGGGCAGAGACAGCCTGGACAATTCCTATTGGCTTTTGAAAGCCAATAGAATTAGACTCTATTCAAGAGAGTCTATTCTATTGGCTTTCCAAAGCCAATAGAATAAAAGGGAGTAGCCCAGCTAAGGAAAAGGGGGAAAAAAATGGTGGAGTGCGTTGTTTGGCGACCCCCGTGAAATGGTCGTTCGACCCCAAATGGGGTCCTGACCCACAGGTTGAGAACCACTGGTCTAGAGCCCTTAGACCAGGGGTTCTCAACCTTTTTAATGCCGCGACCCCCCCCAAACGGTCATAAGTCGAGGACTACTCAACCGGTTGTAAGTCGAGGACTACCCAACCGGTTGTAAGTTGAGGACTACCCATCCGGTCGTAAGTCGAGGACTTCCCCTGCCCGGGAGCACCACGCATGCGTGGTGCCGCCCCCTGCGCCGGCCGAGGCGTAGCTGGCAAGCGGCAGAGACGGCGCAGGCCGACCACTGGCTAGGCCACCAGCTGGCCCAGCCCAAGGGAGGTAAGGCACCCGCCGGGCCCCCGTGCGCCAACAACCCTCCCTGCGCCCGCCGGCCTCCCACCTCCCACCCCTGGCCCTCTTTTCCTTACATTTTTAGTAGTTGCTCAGCAGAGAGGGGTGGAAGCTTCCAGACAGCTCGCCTTCGCTGCAAACAACTTGCAGCACCGTTTGCAGAATGGGACTTTTGGCGGGCTCAGCAGGGCAGAGACAGCCTGGACAATTCCTATTGGCTTTGGAAAGCCAATAGAATTGGACTCTATTCAAGAGAGTCTATTCTATTGGCTTTCAAAGGCCAATAGAATAAAAGGGAGTAGCACAGCCAAGGAAAAGGGGGGGGGGGGGAATGGCGGACTGCGTTGTTTGGCGACCCCCGTGAAATGGTCGTTCGATCCCAAATGGGGTCCCGACCCACAGGTTGAGAATCACTGGTTTAGACTTATATGCCGCTTCACAGTCCTTTGCAGTCCTCTCTAAGCGGTTTACAGAGCCAGCCTGTTGCATACTTCCCCCCCCCCCCAATTATCCAAGTCCTCGTTTTACTGAGCTCGGAAAGATGGAAGGCTGAGTCATCGTTGAGCCAGTCAGCATTGAACTCCTGACAGTGGGCAGTGAGTTGGCTTGCAACGCTACAAGAAAATAGGAGGTGGAAAGAATATTAGGCAACATAAGAGTCAAATAAATGCTGGCTTGCTCCAGCTGTTGTGGCCCAGCAGGTGTTGATTAAGCCTGGGGTCAACCCACTTTAGACATCCTTTCCTATTTCATAAACTGCATTCTCTCACAAGGTCTCTTACCCAAGAAGGGGTACCCAATATCTGAGGGGATTATTTCATCAGAAAGCCATCTAACATATACCTTCTCTCCTCGGTTAATCAAGGAGAGAAGCAACCTAGAACGAAGGAGGAATTTCCTGACAATGAGAACAATTAGCCAATGGAACTACCTGCCTCCAGAAGTTGTGGGCTGCTCCATCACTGGAGGTTTTCAAGAAGAGACTGAACAGCCATTTGTCTGAAATGGCATAGGGTTTCCTGCCTGAGCAAGGGGTTGGACTAGATGACCTCCAAGGTCCCTTCCAACTTTATTACTATTATTATTATATTGTTATTGTTGTTGTTATTGTTATCTGGTTGTTAGACACAGATAAACTTCCAGGTGGCAGACATGTCAAACACAAGGCCCGGTTTCATGTGGCCTGCGAAGCCATCCTGGAAACAGTGAGGGAACGGCCCCCGCTGCCTTGGCCCTGGCCCAGACCGGCCGGGAGCCAATGTACAATTTTGTGGTGGCCATCTTGGCACTTGCCCTGGTCCCACCGCCTTCTGCCAGAGACCCTCAGATCTGTCCCACTCCTGCCCAGGCCCCCATAGGCACCCTTGACATGAATGATGTAGAACTGGCCACGCCCACCCAGTAGGCCACACCCACTCCATCCACGCCCACCCAATAGGCCGCACCCACCCTGGCCACACCCACCTGGCCCCCCCAAGGACAACCGCAATGCTGATGCGGCCCTCAGTGAAATTGAGTTTGACACCCCTGGTATAGGGTTTCCTGCTTGAGCAGGGGGTTGGACTGGATGACCTCCCATGTCCCTTCCAACTCTCTTATTCTTTTTTTCTTTTCATTGTGTCTGCTACAGAGTTGTTGACAAACAGCGATCAAGTTTGTGTCTTTTGTAGGAACGGGTCTCGAAAATACCCACCCCATCTGGTCGAAGTGGAGGCCATTCAGCATAAAACAACGCAGATTTTCCACAAAGTCTATTTCCCAGACGACACCGATGAGGTAAAGGCCAAACTTTTAAACCCTGATCAGTAAGGAGAGTCCATCCCAGGTTCCTTTGGTGAAGGAAGCAGAGGAAAGGCCAAGAGGAGGAGATCCAGAATGTCAAGAGCAAAAAGATTTTGCTCTTCTTCGGTGAAGCCCACGGAGCTTCCCCATCCTCCAGATCCTGGTTGTCCCAAAGATGCTTTCCCGGGAGGCCACTGGACTTCTTTGTTTTCCTTTGAAGACGTTTCGCTTCTCATTCCGAGAAGCTTCCTCTGCTCTGACTGGATGGTGGGGGAATGGAAGGATTTATACTCCTTGCAGAAAAACTGGTCATTTGCCTCCTTTTAGAGAGTCATTGAGGCCACTTGGAAATTTATCTGTGTCCTCAGGGACACCTGAATGGTGCAAATGAGTGTGGAGCCTTCTTGGAACTGCTGAAAGGACTGTGTGGTAGACTGGAGATGGATGATGTTGTTTATATTTATATTCCTTGCAGACATTTGGTCATTTGCCTCCTTTTAGAGTAGACATGTCAAACACAAGGCCCGGGGGCCGGATACGGCCCGCGAAGTGGTTTCATGTGGCCCGTGAAGCCATCCTGGAAACAGTGAGGGAACGGCCCCCGCTGCCTTGGCCCTGGCCCAGGCTGGCCAGGAGCCAATGTACAATTTTGTGGTGGCCATCTATGCTGCAATGCATTCAGTCTTAGCTCCACAAGGCCGTCCGGAAACAGCGAGGAACCAGCCCCTGCCATGTCGGCTTCACCCCCTGGGTGCATGCTGGGGAGGTGTCCCCCTTTGTGAGGAATGAAGAAATGCACCATGCATTGGGGCTTGCCCCGGTCCCACCCCCTTCTGCCAGAGACCCTCTGATCTGTCCCACTCCTGCCCAGGCCCCCACGGGCACCCTTGACGCGAATGATGTAGAACTGGCCACGCCCACCCAGTAGCCAAAGCCACTCCATCCACGCCCACCCAGTAGGCTGCACTCACTCTGGCCACACATCCCCAGCCCCCCCAGGGCAACCGCAATGTTGATGCGGCCCTCAATGAAATTGAGTTTGACACCCCTGTTTTAGAGAGTCATTGAGACCACCTGGAGGTTTGTCCTGTGTCCTCAAGGTCACCTGAGTGGTGCAAATGGGCATGGAGCCTTCCTGGAACTGCTGAACGGACTGTGTTGTAGACTGTGTTGTAGACTTACTGCACCACTCAGTAAGCCTGAGGACACAGGTAAACCTCCAACTTTGTATAATGTGAGATATACAGTATGATGTAATGATGGGAATGACTCAGCAGGGTCTGTGTCCCTTTAACAGCCTTTCTATAAGAGGGAAGCCTCTGCTGCTGTGTTCTCTCTCTTCTGTTTCCTGCTGTAATTGTGGTGCGTTGGATCCTGCTGTATTAGCACGTGTGTGTATATTGCTCCTGGTGTATGATATTGCAGATAGTGTAAGATAAACCACCATTTAATATAGACCACTGTTTACTGTATTTACTCCTGGGTTAGCTAGCGCAATAAGACTCTGCACACTCTGACACAAGAGTTCAACTCAGCTTGTATGAAGCCAGGTTATTTATTCTGCTTTGTTTCTCACCCAGGCCTTTGAAGTGGAATCTGGCACCAAGGCCAAGGATTTCTGTCAAAGCATTTCCAAACGGCTGCTCTTAAAATCATCGGAAGGATTCAGCCTTTTTATCAAGATATCGGACAAGGTGAGTTTACAAGTCATAGCTGGCCAGACTTTCATCAGAGTTATATCCAGTAGTAACGGAAGCTTTCCCAGCCCAGTCCATTAACGCTGAAACCCTAAAACAGACAAAGAACGGTTGCAAGAATTGGGTATGTCTAATCTAATGAAGAGAAGGACAATGGGTGACATGATAGCAGTCTTCCAGTATCTCAGGGGCTGCCCCAAAGAAGAGGGAGTCAAGCTATTCTCCAAAGCGCCTGAAGGCAGGACGAGAAGCAATGGATGGAAACTCATCAAGGAGAGAAGCAACCTGGAATTAAGGAGAAACTTCCTGACAGTGAGAACAATTAACCAGTGGAACCACCTGCCTCCAGAAGCAGTGAATGCTCCAACACTGGAAGTTTTTAAGAAGAGACTGGACAGCCATTTGTCCGAAATGGTATATATGGTTTCCTGCCTGAGCAGGAGATTGGACTAGATGACCTCCCAGGTCCCTTCCAACTCTGTTATTCTGTGATTTTGTTAATATTGGGATGGGAGACCACTAGGGCAGGAGTCCCCAACTTGCAGGCCATGGCCCGGTAGTGGGCCCAGGCCACTCGGCTGCGGGAAAGTCTGGCTAGTGCACACGCATGTGTGTGTGCACCCCCTCACATATGGTAGCACCACGGCCGTGGGGCACAAAAACAGGACACTGCGCCATGGGGCGCAAAAACGGGCTGCCGCTGTGCCACAGGGCATGGAAACAGGGCACCGCTGCACCACGGGGTGCAAAAACGGGCCGCCGCCATGCTGCAAGGTGCCAAAATGACTGCTGCCACATCGCAGCTCGCAGAAATAAGGCTCTGTGCCATGCAAGAACGGAGCAGGGCTAGTGAGTATCACTCGTGAAGAAGCACCTTTGGGATAACTGACCTGCAGGACTGAGAATCTCCATTGGCAGCTCTGTAGTTCATTTCCTTCCCTTTAACACGGTAGTTCTCAATCTTGGTCCCTTTAAGACGGGTGGATTTCAACTCCCAGAATCCCCCAGCATGCACATCTACAAGGGGCCAAAGTTGAGAAAGCACTGCTTGCCTTCTTCCAGGTCATCAGTGTCCCCGAAGGAGACTTCTTCTTTGACTTCGTCAGGCATCTGACCGACTGGATCAAGAAAGCGAGGCCAGCAAAAGATGGTAAATCTTTCGTGGTAAATCTTGACTCCAATACATAAATCTTTATTTCCTTCTAGTTCCCTCTAGTTCCCTCTGGTGGCCAACCTTCAAAATCGCATCTTGTCATGTTTTTTTTAACTGAATTCAAAACCGAAGCATTTTCTTATCATTCATTCCAGAATTTTATTTCAAAGTCATCTGGACCCATTGCCCATTTCTAACCTTCTGAAATCAGAGTTCTAATCACTCTTTTGTTTTTTGTTCAAAACAAAACCAAAAAAAAAAAAAAATCCTGCTTGAGTCCTTAAACTTGTAAAAAGATGGAAAGAAAGTCCCTTGGCATTTTCAGACTTGTCAGATGCGAAGGCTCCTAATATTTGAAAAACAGTTAACAAGCAATTTCAAAAAAAGGATTAGAAAAGGAAGCACGAATAGTCCTCAACTTACGACTGGTTGCTTAGTGGCCATTTTACGACAGACCGTATGGCCCAGATTCAAAGTTCTGACGGCCACACCCCCAACACGGTCACATGACTGCACGTCAGGAACTTTGCAGTGTCCTGTAGTGTCCTGTAGTGATGTGGGTGATCTGATTTATCTAAGGCCTGATTTACCTAAGATGGAAAGGCTTAGAAAAAAACTTGGAAAAAATGGGAAACAAACAGGTTTTTTCAAGGCTTTTACCCCCCAAAGCCGTTGGGGAAAAAAAATGGGGAAAAATGGTTTTTTCCCCAATTTTTCCAGTTTTTTTCCCCCAGGTCTTTCCATCTTAGGTAAATCAGGCCTTAGGTAAATCAGATCACCCATGTGACGGATCTGATTTTTATCGCCTTTTTTTCGTGCTGGTCCTTAAACGATAGCTTCAGGCATAAAGCAACTAATGTGGTCATTATTTTACAACCGTCATGATTGATAACCCCAATGGCCAGGCTCCCTTACATAAGTCATAACTCGAGGACTATCTGTGTGCAAACTCGGTGTCCTTTTCAAGACGCCGAATACAGTTTGAGCACGGTGATTTTTTTTTCGGTCGTTTGCCAAAATCTGCTGCTATCTTGCACAACGATCTTCTGTTCTCCATTTCTTTCCCAGACGTCCTGAACTTTTTCTTGCCACACTAGATTTCTGCAAGCGGGGATTCTAACTTTTTGTGCGAAGGAAAGTGACAAAGTGACAATCCTAGAGGTGTCTCTCGCCTGTCGCATTAGTGGAACAAACAACAAATGGTGCCACTTTACAAAGAACTAATTGGGGAGGGGGCAGTCTTACAGCAGGCATCGCCAGCAACCTTTTTGTGGACCTCAGACACACACACCCCACTTCCTCTCCCCAAATAAAAAAAAAAACAAATTTATTATTTCCTTTGGATGACATGTCCACTTTGGTAGACGGCTTTCTGCAGCTCCCCCTGCAGTCAGGACTCTGAATTGCATCCACAACCTCTAATGTTATTTATAGATTATAGATATTTTTCAATCTTAGCACGTTTAAGATGTGTGGACTTCAACTCCCAGAATTCCTTAACATTTGCTGGCTGGGGAATTCTGGGAGTTGAAGTCCACGCATCTTTTTTTTTTTAATTTTAATTTTTCCTTTTTCACTTTACAAAAACAAAATACAAAATACATTTTTTTCCTCAACAGTACTGTGTCCTATATCTCTTACATTTATTTACAATGATTTATATCACTTCTCATACTTTTTTATTCCTCAGTTCTAACCAGTTGTAACACTTGTCCCATATCTCATAAAATTCTGTAGCTTCTTTGTCTTTGATTTCCAGAGTAAGTTTGTACATCTCAGCGCATTCTAGTATCTTGTAAATAATCATATCATTTGTTGGTATTTTTTTTCCCTTTCCAGCATTGCGCATATGCAATGCGTGCCGCTGTTATTATATGTTATGTGTTGAAGTTGTTTTTTCATCTTTGGGTTAATTATACCTAATAAGAATAATTCAGGTTTAAGTTCGATTCGTTCTTTTGTTATTTCCTGTATCCATCTCCTTATGGGCTCCCAATAAATCTTTGCTTTGGGGCATTGCCACCACATGTGATAGAATGTTCCCTCTTTGTTTTTGCATTTCCAACCGTCCGGATTCATATTTTTATATATCCTGGCCAATCTCGCCGGTGTTAAATGCCATCTATAGAACATTTTATATTGGTTTTCTTTATATGCAGTTGACAGTGTTAGTTTGCAATTTTTATGTTCCATACTCTTTCCCATTCTTCTAATTCTATATTTGTACCCATATTCCTTGCCCATGCTATCATTGGACCTTTTACTATTTCTTCTTCGAATTCTACTTCTAATAAATGTTTGTAGGTAGCACGCATCTTAAACGTGCTCAAGTTGAGAAACACTGCCTTAAATTAATTGTGGGTCACAATGCACAATCAAGATCCAACTTTGAATGTTGCCCTGATTTTGCTTCCTAGGTCTTGTGCCTTCCCTCACCTACCAAGTCTTTTTCATGAAAAAGCTTTGGACCAACACCATGCCTGGGAAAGATTCAATGGCCGATTCCATTTTCCATTATTATCAGGTATGTCTCCCAAATCTGCAAGGTTCATCAGCGGAAGAATCTAAACCAGATTACGGTTGGACATTCCTTCACGCGGCTCCTGGTTCCGTCACCTCACGTTTGGACTACTGCAACGCGCTCTACATGGGGCTACCCTTGAAAAGTATTCGGAGACTACAGTTGGTCCAGAATGCAGCCGCGCGAGTGATAGTGGGTGCTCCTCGATACACCCACGTTACACCTATCCTCCGTGAGCTGCACTGGTTGCCTATTGGTCTCCGGGTCCAATTCAAGGTGTTGGTTATTACCTTTAAAGCTCTATATTGGGACTTCCGGTGGATTTTGCGCGCGCGATGGCGGCTACTTTGTAGCCGTCTCTCCTGGGTAAGTGTAAGAACCGCTATGAACAGCAGACATCAGCTGTTCAGCGGTTCAAAATCCCCCTCCCGGGCAAAGGGGGGGGGTAGAGAGTGTCTGAATAGTGGTAGAGCCTCTTTTGCACCCCCCAAATTTTTTGGGGGGGGGTGAAAGGAGTGCTCCCACAGAGTTCAGACTTCCCAGCTGTTTTTGTCCTCAGGGACAAAACGAGCCGCTGCAAACACCTCCGTGCTTAAAGAGAACTGGTGAGTTTTTTTTTATAAACGGACAGAGCTGAGTAGAGGATTTAGTTTTTGCTTTCTTTGATTTATTTGGATTTTAAGTTTTAAGACTTGCTTCTATTTTTATTCTCTTTTTTTATTTTTTTTTTCTTTGTTGAAAGGGAAAGTAAAATGGCGATCGGCAAATCTCTCGGTGTTTTTTTTTTTTTTTTGAAGTTAGAATGCTGACCGGCAGGCTTTTTGGTGTTTCTCTTTCTTTCCTTTCCCTTTCCCTTTTTATTTTCTTATGATTGGAATGGTTGTTTTTGGTATCTCTAAGTATTTTTTTGGAACGGACTTTTTCTATTTAATTTTTTTTTTTTTCTTCTCCCTTCTTTTTATTGTAATGACCCTTTTTTGAAGGACTTTTTTCTGTTTAATTTTTTGCAATTTTTAAGAAGGAGTAAAGCCTTTTTTTAATTCTTTTTCTCTTCCTTTTTTTTTCTTTTTCCCTTTTTTCTTTTTATTATAATGACCTTCTTTGGAGGGAGTTATGATTTTTGAAGGACTTTTTATAATTTTTTAAGAAGGGCTAAAGGTTTTTCTTTAAGATGGCTCCAAAGCGTCCAGGGATTTCTACAGCTTCTAAATCAACAGTTTCACCCTCTTCTGGGGGTCAGCTAATAACTATGAAGGATTTGCAAAACATGATGGGAGATGTTATAATTCAAATTAGGGCAGAAATGAAAAAGATTTTAGAGGAAAATAATAAGATCTTGAGACAAGATTTTGTTTTGGCTTTAGAAGGAGTTGCTTCTGTTCTTGAAAAGGTGAACTCCCATGTGGAAGAGGTAGATGAAAAAGTGGACATAATGGAGGGGAAAATTGAAAGTATGGAAAAAGAAATGGAAAATGAGATTCTTATGCTTCAATATGGACAAATGGAATATGCCTTAAGAATCAGAGGCCTGGAAGAGTCTTTGCAAGGAGATTTGAAAGAGATGGTTGCAAAGGACTTTGCATTGATTTTGAATAAAGAAAAAGAGGGAATACTTAGTGAAATTGAAAAATTATTTAGGGTTAACTCTGTGGGGCAGCACAGAAGAATCTGCCAAGAGATGTGGTAATTTACTTTGGTAAAAGATCTTTACGCAATGAAATTGTGCAAGCCTATTATAAGAAGAGATTTCAAATTGCTTCACAAGATGTTATAATTTTTAAGGAGATCCCATCTAAAATTTTAAGAAGAAGAAAGGAGTTTGCTTTTCTAGCAAATGAACTTAAAAAGAGAAAAATTCTATTTAGATGGGATGTTCCGACTGGAATGGTGGTGAACTACCTGGGGACATGTCATAGACTTAATACTGTTTCTCAAGCAAAAGATTTTTATACTTCGGTCCTGGGGGTATGTGCATCGCCATCTATTAGGTCTCAACAAGTCCAGATCGAGGAGCAGAAGACAACTTGTGTAGCACATAATTCCAAAGAAAAGCAGCAACAGAAGAAGGTTAAGGAAGTTTCATATTCAGTGGTCTCTGAATCTCTGGGAGATGTTGGACCTACAAAGTCTTTGGAGCAATCTTCAAGGGTGGAATTGCTGCCTGAAATGGAAATTGGGAAATCTCAGTTTGAGGGGCATCAACAAGAGAGGAACGGGCAGAGGATAACTTGTATAACTTACAATTGTAAAGATCAACACAAGGAGGAATTTAAGGAATCCTTACCTGTATTGGCTTCGGAAGTTAGACCTACAAAGTCTTTGGAGCAATCTTCAGAAATGGAAATTGGGAAAACATATAAATGTAAAGAGAAAGACCAACAGAAGAAGGAGGTTGAGGAAGTTTCACAGGTACTGATTCCTGAGCTTGGGGGTCAACCAGGACTTACAAACTCTTTGGAGCGATCTTCAAGGGCAGAATTCCACGCATTCTTTTCGATGCTTGCGGGCAAGAGAGACTGATATGGATTGTGCTTATAGTAGATGCAACTGGCTATTAGACAGAAGATTATGGATATTGAATGAAAATTTTAGATAAGAAGTTTGTGTTTATAGTGGATGCAACTGGTTATTGGACAGAAAATTATGGACATTGAATGAGAACTTTAGACAAGAAGTTTACTATTGAGATTGTGGGAGAAGTAAAACTTATATCGTTTTTGGAAAATGTCTTATGTAATGTCTAAACATGTGTTTTGGGATAATAATATATTTCAGCTTTAAGTTTTAAACCTTTAATGATAATATTGTTTAAACTTGTGTTTTGAAGGGATTATAATTTGTTTATTTCAGTGAGGGGATTCTAATAAATTTGTGTTTCGAAGGGAGTATAACTTGTTTAAGTTTCAAGTAATGCTTAAATTTGGTTTTTAAATATTATTATTAATATTTCTAAGAGAAAATAATTTGTTTAATTAAATGTCTAGATTTGTTTAGGAAAGAAAGTAATGTTTAAATCTGTGTTTTTGGAGGAAATCTATATAGAATGATGATTGTATTTAGACTTGTTTAGGATTTAAAAGTGTTTCAAGTTTTTAAATATTATTATTAATATTTTTAAGAGAAAATAATTCGCTTAGATTTGTTTAGGATTTTTAAGTTTTTTTTTTTTGGATAGGTGAGAAGATTATGAAGATTGAAGGAAATATGTATTTAGTTTAAGTTTTCTAAGAGTATTTAGTTTTAATGGTATAACAAAGGTTTATATGTTTATTTTTTTGTATTAGGATAAAGAAAGAGGGAGAAATTAGATTTTATATTATAGGCATAGATATTCAAAGAAAGTAATGTTTAAATTTGCGTTTTTGGAGGGAGTTTATATAGAATGATGATTGTATTTAAATTTGTTTAGGTTTTAAAAGTGTTTTAAGTTTTTTTCTTAATTAAGCCTGTACTTAGCTCTGGGAAGTTCAGGGGAGGGTTTGGGAGGTTGGGGAGGAGGGGGGTGAGGTAGGGTTGGGGGGGGGTATGGGAAGGGGATTTGTTTTTGTAAAAATTTAAAAATTTTCAATAAAAAAAAAAAAAAAGCTCTATATTGCTCAGGGCCAGGCTATTTGCGAGACCGCCTACTACCTCATAGTTCCCTACGTCCGGTTCGATCCCACAGGCTGGACCTCCTTCAGGCCCTGTCGGCCAAGCAGTGCCATTTGGCGGGGCCGCGGAGGAGGGCCTTCTCTGTGATGGCGCCCACGTCTTGGAACCAGCTCCCCCCCCCGGAGATTAGGACCGCTCCCACCCTGTTGGTCTTCCGTAAGCTACTTAAGACCTGGCTTTTCCGGCAGGCCTAGGGTTTATAAAACCTAACCCCTGGATGACTGTTATTGTACTGTTGTTTTGTTATGTTTTATGTGTTTTTTATTGTTAGCCGCCCAGAGTCCTTCGGGAGTGGGGCGGGTTATAAATTTTAAAAATAAATAAATAAATAAATAAATAAATAAATAAGAAAGAGACCGGATAGCCATTTGTTTGAAATGGTGTAGGGTTTCCTGCCTGAGCAGGGGGTTGGACTAGATGACCTCCAAGGTCCCTTCCAGCTTTATTGTTGTTCACTTCAGAACGGGAGGCCATCCCAGTTGCTTGTCCTCTTTGAGCACCTTGGATACAGGAGCGAAGGATGTCTGCTCAAATATTTTGGAAACGTATTACTTTTGCCTGTGGGACTTGAAGGCCGAAAACATGTTTTTGTGCATATGGGGATTATGCAAGATGGTCAGAATTCCTTTAATAAGGTAGTCCTTGACATACGACCATTGCTTTAGTGGCCGAAGTTACAATGGCACTGGGGGAAAAAATGACTATGGCTATTTTTCACATTTATGACGGTTGCAACATTGCTGTGCTCATGTGAGCAAAATTTGGGCCCTTGGCAACTGGGATGTACATTCTGATACATTCTTCTGGTTTGTATGTACCGTGTTTCCCCGAAAGTAAGGCCTACGCGAGGGGTAGGCAACCTTGGCTCTTTTATGACTCGTGGACTTCAACTCCCAGAATTCCTGAGCCAGCCATGCTGAGGGGAAAGGGAGAGGTTTCCAAGCTGAGCCATGCTGGCTCAGGAATTCTGGGAGTTGAAATCCATGAGTCATAAAAGGGCCATAGTTCCCTCATATTGGCTCAGGAATTCTGAGAGTTGAAGTCCGCAAGTCATGAAGGGGCCAGAGTTCCCCCATGCTGGCTGAGGAATTCTGGGAGTTGAAGTCCATGAGTCATAAAAGAGCCATAGTTTCCCCACGCTGGCTCAGGAATTCTGAGAGTTGAAGTCCACGAGTCATGAAGGGGCCATAGTTCCCCCATGCTGGCTGAGGAATTCTGGGAGTTGAAGTCCACGAGTCATAAAAGAGCCAAGGTTGCCCACCCCTGGCCTACACCAACAATAAGCCCTAGCTTGATTTTTGGGGGTGGGCCTAATAGAAGCCCTACCCTGAAAATAAGCCCTAGTTTTGGGGTGAAGCCGCACACCTAAAAATCAAGCGGGGGTGGGTGGTGTGTAGCTGCCCACCTGCCCTGCACCCACTTACCTTGCAGTCAGGCCTCTCCTCGCCGGCCCATTTCTTCTTCTGAGGTCTCTTTTGCAGCCAGGCCTGCATATCTCAGTCACGGGCCTTTCCCGAAGGCCTCTGCAACCGAGAACCAAGCTATGGGTTCAATCCGTACCTCGGTTCTGCAAGATCTCTGCAGCCGAGCACCGAGCTATGGATTGAATCCATAGCTCGGTACTTGGCTGTTTAGGCCTTCCGGAAAGGCCTGAACTGCAAAATGCAGGCCCAAATGCAGCCGCAGAGCTTTGGTCCCAGAAAAAGTGGACCAGTTGGGTGGCGCTGTTGGTGCCGGAGGTAAGGCCTACCCCCAAAGTAAGACCTGGTGCTTCTTTTGGAGGCAATAATAATAATGATAATAATAATGATAATAATAATAATAATACCTGCTCTTATTTTCAGGGAAACATGGTATGCAAGTATGCATGCATTTATGGCACATTATGGTACATTCTTCCTGTTTTCAGCAAAACTGCGGAATTGTTTTGCTGAACGACTGCTGTACAGATGGTCCTCGACGTAAAACAACGTTGATGGGAATGTTGTTGGCGATTCCTTGATTAAGTTTACTGTGGGGTTCCTGGTTGTTTTCTTGCAAATGTTTCTTTACCCAACTAGGTAACATCATCAGTGCTAGAAGTGCTAGTTTAGTCGAGCAATCCCCAGCTCAGACAACCGAAACACCAAACAACAGCCTAATCGAGGAATCACCAAGAACATTAGACCAACACTAGAAAAGGAAACAATTTCCCAGTCAAGGAATTGCCAAACAAGCTAACAGTAAACCACTGTTTATTTGTAGCTCAGTGTTGATGTGGTGGTTTCCTTGCAGACATTTCAAGACCCAACTAGGTAACATCATCAGTGCCAGAAGGGACTGAGGGCTGCTCTCTGGTTATAAACAAGTAGCTTGCTTGTAGAGAAGAATCCCCACTCCTTTCTACAATAGCACTGATGCTATTCTCTAGTTGGGTCAGGAAATATCTACAGGAAAACAACCAGGCTCAGAAAGCACCAAGAACAACAGCTTAGGCAACGAACCACCCAAATCACTCCCATTAACACTGCCAGGGCAAGCCACTAGTCCAGTGGTTCTCAACTTGTGAGTCGCGACCCCATTTGGGGTCGAACGACCATTTCACGGGGGTCGCCAAACAACGCAGTCCGCCATTTTTCCCCCCTTTTCCTTAGCTGTGCTACTCCCTTTTATTCTATTGGCTTTTGAAAGCCAATAGAATAGACTCTCTTGAATAGAGTCTAATTCTATTGGCTTTCAAAAGCCAATAGGAATTGTCCAGGCTGTCTCTGCCCTGCTGAGCCCGCCAAAAGTCCCAGTCTGCAAACGGGGCTGCAAGTTGTCTGCAGCAAAGGCGAGCTGTCTGGAAGCTTCCACCCCTCCCTGCTGAGCAACTACTAAACATGTAAGGAAAAGAGGGCCAGGGGTGGGAGGTGGGAGGCCGGCGAGCACAGGGAAGGTTGCTGGCACGCGTGGGGCCCGGCGGGTGCCTTACCTCCCTTGGGCTGGGCCAGCTGGTGGCCCAGCCGGTGGTCGGCCTGCGCTGTCTCTGCCGCTTGCCAGCTACGCCTCGGCCGGCGCAGGGGGCGGCACCACGCATGCGCGGCGCTCCCGGGCAGGGAAAGTCCTTGACTTACGACCGATTGGGTAGTCCTCAACTTACGACCGGTTGGGTAGTCCTCGACTTACGACCGGTTGGGTAGTCCTCGACTTACGACCAGTTGGGGTCGCGTCATTAAAAAGGTTGAGAACCACTGCACTAGTATATAAACAGAGAGCAAAGCCTCTTCCCTTCTAGCACTGATGATGTTACCTAGTTGGGCAATGAAACGTCTGCGAGAAAAGACTCAAATTCAGATGTCTATAGAGATTCTCAGTCATCCAGGTCAGGGTTGCCCCAAAGGTACTTTTTTAGGAGGCAACTGGACTTGCTTGTTTTTTCTTTGAAGACGTTTCGCTTCTCATACCAGAAGCTTCTTCAGCTCTGACTGGATGGAGGGGAAGGGAAGGATTTATACTCCTTGCAGACAGCTGATCATTTGCTTTCTTTTAGAGAGTCGTTGAGGCCACTTGCAGGTTTACCTGCATCCTCAGGGTCAAATGAGTGATCTATCTATCTCCAGTCTACAACACCATCCTTTCAGCAATTCCAAGAAGGCTCCACACCCATTTGCACCACTCAGGTGGCCCCGAGGACACAGACAAACCTCCAAGTGGTCTCAACGACTCACTAAAAGGAGGCAAATGTCCAGCTGTCTACAAGGAATATAAATATAAACAACATCATCCATCTCCAATCTACAACACAGTCCTTTCAGTAGTTCCAAGAAGGCTTCACACCCATTTGCAGCATTCAGGGTGATCCAGAGGACACAGATAAACCTCCAAGTGGCCTCAACGACTCGCTAAAAGGAGGCAAATGACCAGCTGTCTACAAGGAATATAAATATAAACGGCATCATCCATCTCTAGTCTACAACACAATCAGTAGTTCCAAGAAGGCTTCACACCCATTTGCAGCACTCAGGGTGATCCAGAGGACACAGAAAAACCTCCAAGTGGTCTCAACAACTTGCTAAAAGGATGCAAATGACCAGTTTTTCTGCAAGGAGTATAAATCCTTCCCTTCTCCCACCACCCGGTCAGAGCTGAAGAAGCTTCTTGGAATGAGAAGCGAAACGTCTTCAGAGAAAAATGAGAAAATCCAGTTGTCTTCTAAAAAAAAAAACACCTTTGGGATTCTTAAGTTCAGAAAGCATCCAGAACCCCGTTATTTTCTTCACCAGCTTTTGAGACGATTCAGAACGTCGCCTGACCACCATCTGATTTTCTTCACGGCACAGGAATTACCAAAATATCTTCGTGGCTACCATAAGTGCAGCCGGGAAGAAGTCCTACAGCTTGGAGCCCTGATCTATAGGGTGAAATTTGAAGATGACAAATCCTCTTTTCCTAATATTCCGAAACTTCTCAAGGACCTGGTGCCCGAACCTCTCATTCGACAGCTGTCCCCGGATGATTGGAAGAGAGTAAGTTTGCTCCGGCAATTGTCTACTTCCATCTCTGTTTCTGTCTATCTGTCTTCAGGTAGTCCTTGACTTACGACAGTTCATTTAGTGACCGTTTCAAGTTACAACGGCACTGGGAAAAAAAGAAACTTATGACCGTTCTTCACACTTACGACCATTTCAACATCCCCAGGGTCATGTGACCGAAATTCAGACACTGGGCAACTGACTCATATTTGTGACGGTCGCAGTGTCCCAGGGTCACGTGATCCCCTTTTGCGACCTTCTGACAATGGGGAAAGCCCGACTCACTTAAACAGCCGTGTGACTAGCTTGACAGCTGCAGGGATTTGCTTAAGAACGATGGCAGGAAAAGTCGTAAAACGGGGCAAAACTCGTTTAACAAATGTCTCACCTTGCAGCATAAATTTTGGCCTCCATTGTAAGTCAAGGACTACCTGTATTGTATCTGTAGTAAGACCACACTTGGAACATATTGCATCCAGTTTTGGTCACCACAATGTATAAAAGATGTTGAGACTCTGGAAAGAGTGCAGAGAAGAGCAACAAAGATGATCAGGGGCCTGGAGGCAAAAATATATGAATAATGGTTGCAGGAATTGGATAGGTCTAGAAAAAAAAGGACATGGGGAGACATGATAGCAGTGTTCCGATGATGATGATGATGATGATGATGATGTTGGAAGGGACGTTGGAGGTCATCTAGTCCAACCCTCTGCTCAGGCAGGAAACCCTGTAGGATTTCAGACAAATGCCTGTCCAGTCTCTTCTTAAAAACTTCCAGTGTTGGAGCATTCACCACTTCTGGAGGCAGGTTGTTCCACTGGTTAATTGTTCTCACTGTCAGGAAATTTCTCCTCAGTTCTAAGTTGCTTCTCTCTTTGGCTAGTTTCCATCCGTTGCTTCTTGTCCTGCCTTCAGGCGCTTTGGAGAATAGCTTGACTCCCTCTTCTTTGGGGCATCCCCTGAGATACTGGAACGTGACTATCCTGTCCCCCCTCGTCCTTCTCTTCATTAAAGTTGTTGTTGTTAATTGCGAAGTCATGTCTGACCCATCGCGACCCCATGGACAACATTCCTCCAGGTCTTCCTGTCCTCTACCATCTTCTGGAGTCCATTTAAGTTCACACCTACTACTTCAGGGACTCCATCCAGCCATCTCATTCTCTGTCATCCCTTTCTTCTCTTGCCCTCCATCTTTCCCAGCATTAGGCCCTTCTCCAGTGAGTCTTTCCTTCTCATTAGGTGGCTAAAGTATTTGAGTTTCAACTTCAGGATCTACTTCATTAAAGTAGACATACCCAATTCCAGCAACTATTCCTTATATGAGGAACGGTTTTGAGGGGTTCCAACCAAGATGAGGGGTTCAAACTATTTTCCAAAAGGCGAGACAAGAAACAGCGGATGGAAACTAACCAAGGAAAGAAGCAACCTAGAACTAAGGAGACATTTCCCAGTGGTGAGAGCAACCAATCAATGGAACCTGCCTTCAGAAGTTGTGGGTGCTCCATCACTGGAGGCTTTTAAACAGAGACTGGACAGCCACTGGTCTGAAATGGCATAGCTTGAGCATGGGGTTGGACTAGAAGACCTCCAAGGTCCCTTCCAACTTTATCATTCTATGTTCTATGTCTTCTCCCCCAATGTATATCCTTGATCCTTGTCTACAGAAAGGGACAAGAAAGAAATCTAGTGGTGTTTGACTCAGTGGCTCCGTGGGTCACAAAGGTCAAGAGAGTGGGCCTTGACCATGAGATCAAAGCCAAACGTGACTTGCTGAACTACACAAACCATTTATTCCATTCTTTCTAGTTTGGGCAAAGTTTTGTCCGTTTTCCGAACATCCCAGCGAGAATCCTCCTAAGCCTGCACCCAAACCAGATTTACCAGACCTATGAGGCCAGTTCGTGCATTCGGTATTCTTAAGATAGGGGGACATCCGGTGTGATAGATTGTGACGCTTGTGACTCTGCTCTCTCTTGCAGTCCATCGTGGCGTACTTCAATAAGCATGCGGGCAAAACGAGGGAAGAGGCGAAGCTGGCGTTCCTCAAGATTGTCTTCCGGTGGCCCACGTTTGGCTCGGCTTTCTTCGAAGTGAAGGTGAGGACGGGCCCCATCTTGGAATGAGCTCAAGATGTGGGGAAGGAGTCCGGTTGTTTGGTGGACTACCTTGAAGAGCAGGTGCTGGGGTCAGGAGAACAGAATAGAAAATATGGAATGGAATGGAGTGGAGTGGAGTGGAACGGAACGGAACAGAACATAGAATGGAATGGAACATAGAATAGAATAGAATAGAATAGAATAGAATAGAATAGAATAGAATAGAATAGAATAGAATAGAATAGAATAGAATAGAATAGAATGCAGAATGGAACGGAATGGAATAGAATGGAATGGAATGGAATAGACACAGAATAGAATGGAATGGAATGGAATGGAACGGAACGGAATGGAATACAATGGAATGGAATAGAACGCAGAATAGAATAGAATGGAATGGAATGGAATGGAACGGAACGGAATAGAATGGAATGGAATGGGATGGAATAGAACGCAGAATGGAATGGAATGGAATAGAACGCAGAATAGAATGGAATGGAATGGAATGGAACGGAATGGAATGGAATGGAACGGAACGCAGAATAGAATAGAATAGAATAGAATAGAATAGAATAGAATAGAATAGAATAGAATAGAATTACAGAATAGAAATACAGAACAGACTAGACTAGACTAGAATAGAATATAATAGAATTGAACAGACTAGAATAGAATAGAACAGAACAGAACAGAACAGAACAGAATAGAATAGAGCTGGAAGAGATCTGGGAGGTCATCTAGTCCAACCCCCTACTCAAGCAGGAGAGCCTATACCATCTTAGACAAGTGGCTGTCCCGTCTCTTCTTAAAAACCTCCAGTGATGGAGCAGCAAATATCCCCCTTGTTTCCAGGGACCCCACTCGGAGAGGAGAGCTGTGGGGGTGACACCTCTCATGGACCCCTAAACCAGTCTTTCTCTCAACCTTAGTGACTTTAAAACAGGGGGATTTGAAATCCCTGAATTTCCCAGCCGTAGAAGAGAGCTGTGGTGGCAACAATCCTGCTCACTAATTTGCAACTTCACTTTCCCAGCCGACTAACACACCTCCGCCTTCCTTTCTCCACAGCAAACCACTGACCCAAATTATCCAGAACTGCTCCTGGTCGCCATCAACAAACACGGCGTCAGCCTCATTGACCGTAAAAGCAAGGTGGGTCTTTTCAGTTGATTGCTTTGTAGTCTCTTTTTAAAAAAAACCTCCAATAATGAAGCACCCACGATTTCTGGTAGCAAGCTGTCCCACTGGTTAATTGTCCTCACTGTTAGGAAGTTTCTCCTCCATTCTAGGTTGCGTCTCTCCTTGATTAGTTCTCACCCGTTGTTTCTCGTCTTGCCTTCTGGTGCTTTGGAAAATTAATTGACTCCCTCTTCTTTGGGGCAGCCCCTCAGATACTGGAACGCTGCTATCATGTCTCCCCTATTTCTCCTTTTCTCTAGACTAGCCAAACCCAAATCCTGCAACCGTTCTTCATTGGTTTTTGTCTCCAGGCCTTTAATCATCTTAGTTGCTCTTCTCTGCACTTTTTCCAAAGTCTCAACATCTTTTTTGTCATGTGGTGACCAAAACTGGATGCAATATTCCAGGGGTGGCCTTACTAAGGCTTTATAAAGCGGTGCTAATACCTCACATGATCTTGATTCTGTGCCTCTGTTTATACAACCAAGGATTGTGATTGATTGATTGATTATGCCTTAGCAGGGTGTTACTCAGTGTATCTGTGTGAGCAAGGAGAAGGAAGCTTTAAATATAGGTAGTCCTCGACTTACAACAGTTCATGTAGTGACCATTCAAAGTTACAACGGCACTGAAAAAAGGGATTTATGACTTTTTCACAGTTATGACCTTTACAGCATCCCCATAATCAGGTGATCAAAATTCAGAGGCTCGGTAACTGGATAGTACTTATGACAGTTGCAGTGTCCCTGGGTCACGTGATCTCCTTTTGCACCCGTCATACAAGTGAAGTCCAAGGGGAAGCCAGCTACACTTAACAACTGTGCTAGTGACGTAACATCTGCAGTGATTAACTTAACAGTGACGAAGGAGGTCATAAAGTGGGGCGCAACTGCCTGGCTTAGCAAAGGGAATCGCGATAGCAACAGAACGTAGACTTATATACCGCTTCACACTGCTTTCCAACACTGGAAGGATTGCCTGGAAGACCTTCAAATCCTGTACAGGTAATCCTCGTTTTACGACCACAATTTCTGTTGCTAAGTGAAAAATTTGCTAACTGAGCTTTGCCCCATTCTTACGACTTTTCTCGCTGCATCTGTTAAGCGAATCGCTGCAGTCGTTAAATTACATGATCATTAAGCGAAGCCGGCTTCTCCCCCCCCCCCCCCGTGGACTTTGCTTGTCAAATGGTCACAAAAGGGGATCACGCGAGCCCCGGGGACGTTGCGACCGTCATAACTGCGAGTCCGTTTGCAAGAATACCACTGTAAGTCACGTGACCGTGCCATGGTCGTAAGTGTGAAAAACAGTCCTCGGTCACTTTTTCAGTGCCGTTGTGACTTTGAACGGTGGCTAACGGAACGGTTGTAAGTCGAGGACAAGCTGTAGGTGGGGACCGTAGTCTGGGAGAACTGAAGACGACAGACGGGTGACGGGCTCGCTCAAAGGCGCGTAACGTGTCTTCTCCGTGTCTCCAGGACATCCTCATCACCCATCCCTTCACCAAGATCTCCAACTGGAGCAGCGGCAACACCTATTTCCATATCACCATCGGCAATTTGGTGCGAGGGAGCAAGTTGCTGTGCGAGACGTCGCTGGTAAGGAGAAAACGTGGCCGGGCAGAGGAGGATGGCAGACGGGAAGCGGGGAAAGAAATGGCCGGGCATCTCCCTGGAGATGCTCGGTCTTCCCGGGTTCATGGTTGGTGTCCCAAGGATGCTCTTCCAAAGGCAACTGGATTTTGTTGTTGTTGTTGTTTTTCCTTGACAACGTTTCTCTTCTCGTCCAAGAAACATCTGTCAGCAATGGGTCTCCTGATTGGGCAGAGGGTTGGACTAGATGACCTCCAAGGTCCCTTCCAGCTCTGCTATTCTATTCTGTCCTATTCTGTCCTATCCTATCCTATTTTACTCCATATTTTCAATTCTATTCTATTTCTATTCTATTCTATTCTATTCTATTCTATTCTATTCTATTCTATTCTATTCTAATTTCTATTCTATTCTGTATTTTTATTATAATCTATATTCCTATCCTATCCTATCCTGTCCTGTCCTATCCTATCCTCTGATCTGTTCTTTTCTGTCCTATCCTATGTTCTGTTCTGTTCTGTTGTTCTGTTCTGTTCTATTCCAGATTTTCTATTCTAGTCTTGTCTAGTCTAGTCTAGTCTCTATTCCATATTTTCTATTCTACTCTACTCTTCTCTATTATATTCTATTAATTTCTATTCTATTCTGTATTTTTAGTATAATCTATATTCCTTTCCTTTCCTGCGCTGTCCTACCCTGCCCCGTCGTATCCTCTATTCTGTTCTGTTCTGTTCTGTTCTATTCTATCCTATTCCATATTTTCTATTCTATTCTACTCTACTCTATTATATTCTATTAATTTCTATTTTATTCTGTATTTTTATTATAATCTATATTCCTTTCCTTTCCTGCCCTGTCCTGTCCTATCTTCTATTCTATTCTATTCTATTCTATTCTATTCTATTCTATTCTATTCTATTCTATTCTATTCTATTCTATATCCCATATCCCATATCCCATCCTTCTATTCTATTCTATTCTGTTCTGTTCTATTCTGTTCTATTCTATTTTTCTTCCGTTCTGAAAAGCACCCTTGGGACCCCCCCCCCAAAAAAGGCTGGCTCTCCCACCAACAAAAATGCAACTTACAACCATTTGTTTAGTGACCGTTTGAAATGACAACAGCATTGAAAAAAGTGACTTAGGACCGTTTTTTCACCCTTACGACCGTCGCAGCCTCCCCACGGTCCCGTGATCAAAATTCAGACACTTGGGCAACTGACTCCTATTTATGACGCTTGCAGTCTGCTGGGAGGGTGTGTGTCACGCGATCCCCTTCTGACAAGCAAAGCCAGCGGGGGGAACCCAGATTCACTTAACGACTGCGTGACTAACTCACTTAACAACGGGGGAGGGGCAAGAAAGCTCGCAAAACGGATCAGAATTCACCTCAGAGGCGTCTCCCTCAGCCACAGAAATTTGGGCAACCAAATATATATTTTAAGTACTATGTTATTTCCTCTATTCTGTTATTACTGCTTTCTTCTATTCTCTTTTATTTTTTATTTTATTTTATTTTTTTATTTTATTTTTCTTCATTCTTTCTCTTTTCCCCTCTTTTTTTTTTACCAATATATTTAAAACTTAAGAAACATAAAAATGTGAGATGGCTTATATGGAAAAAACAGAACCAAGTTTGTCAATGTAAATGAAACTAATTGTCACCAGTAAAAATTACTTAAAATTTGGTGGGAGAAATAAACTAAAATAAGGACTGTAAAGGATTGATGATAGGGCAGTTTAAATGAATGGAAAGAAAAGGATGCATTAATATGATGATTATTTTTAACCAACAAGACAAAACAGAACAAAGCAAAACATAACACACATACACACACAATATATACTCCTCCTTTTTTTTTTTTACAGCAATTACGTAACGGTAATCTAATATTTACATTTCCCCCTTATTCTTCTTTAAATATTTGTCCTTATAGCCCCATTATTTCTTATTTACATTTTTCTTCCTTCATGTTCTACTTCTTACTAAGAATAATTCATATTATTATTATACATTATTATACTCATATTTTCACTTTTGACCTTTCCATATTTATTCTCCTCTATTATTTCTAGTCTCCAACCAGACATACCACTTGTTCCATGTTATATAGTACTCTGTGTCTTCCTTTTGTTTTATCTCTTTTGTTAATTTGTCCATCTCAGCACAGTCCAGGATTTTTCTTATTACTTCTTCCTCTGATGGTATATTCTCATTTTTCCAGCACTGTGCATATGCTATTCTTGCCGCCGTTATTATGTGTAAAATTAAGTATCATATTTCTTTACTATATTTTCTATTTAAAATACCCAACAAAAAGATCTCTGGTTTCCAGTCTACAGGTTGGTCTATTATTTCTTGGATCCATTTTCTTATTGTAGACCAGTATTTTTTTTGCAACTGGGCATGTCCACCATAGATGATAATATGTTCCATGTACTTTTTTACATTTCCAACATGTTGGCGAATTATTCTGGAACATCTTGGCAAGCTTTGCAGGTGGAAGATGCCATCTGTAAAACATTTTCAACTGGTTTTCCTTGAATGCCACTGACATAGTCAATTTTATATTTATTTCCCATATTTTTTCCCATTTCTCCAATTCTATATTATATCCGAACTTTTTTGCCCATCTAATCTGTTTTGTCTTGTTGGTTAAAAATAAAAATTTAAAAAAAAATATGATGATTATTTTTTAGGAATATTGGAAAAAATATATACCAAATTGTCACTTCTTGAAACAATAAGAATTATATTAACGTAACATTTGCAAAAAAAAAAAAAAAAGGATGTTTCAGGGAAAGAGGAAAGTAAGCAAAATTAATATATGAAATACAGACTATAGAAATTAATTGTTAAGGATTGTTTTTACAAATGTAATCCAGACATCACACTGTTTGCCAACTATTGCGACTTATGTTTGTGCAAAAAAAATTAATAAAAAATATAGAAACTAAAAAAAAAAAAAGACATTTGGGCAACCCGTTTGTCTACCTGGATGCTTGGGCAAAACCCCGGCGTCCATTTTACGCTCCTTTTTCCCTTCTCTTTCCTGCCAGGGCTACAAGATGGACGACCTGCTGACCTCCTACATCAGCCAGATGCTGACGGCCATGAGCAAGCAAAGGGGCGCAAAAGGGAGCAAGTGAACGGAGACCACCCACCGGCCGTCCCTCTGCCAGCTGAGGACAGTGGGCCACCCTTGCAGCTGGGGGAGAGCCTTTGCCACCCACGTGTGGAAAATGAGCCGGTCGCCTTCCGAAAACCTGTCGGATTTTGAGGACTCCGAGCGCACCTCCACTTCCAGCGAGGATGACTACCTGTGAGGCAGACAGAAAAACAAAAACCCAAAACAAAACACCTCCCTTTCTTTCCCAGCACTATTTTTTCTTCTCGCTTCTGGGACGTGGTACCGGGCTGAGGAGGAAAAAAATAAATAAATCTGCTTTTTATGGCCTGTGGAGAAGGGTCCTCGGACTTCCAGAAGCGGTGAATGCTCCAACACTGGAAGTTTTTAAGAAGAGACTGGACAGCCATTTGTCCGAAACGGTGTAGGGTTTCCTGCCTGAGCAGGGGGCTGGACTAGATGACCCCACAAGGTCCCTTCGAACTTGATTATTATTATTGAGGAGAGAAGCAACCTAGAACTAAGAAGAAATTTCCTGATCGTTAGAACAATTAATCAGTGGAACAACAGAACTTGTGAATGCTCCCATCACTGGAAGCGTTTAAGAAGAGACTGGACAACCATTTGTCTGAAATGGCGTAAGGTTTCCTGCCTGAACAGGGGGTTGGACTAGATGACCTCTGAGGTCCCTTCCGACTCTCTTGTTCTGTTATTCTGAACGACTTGCCTCCGGAAGTTGTGAATGCTCCATCACTAGGAGGGTTTTTAAGAAGAGACTGGACAACCATTTGTCTGGAGTGGTATAGGGTTTACTACCTGAGCAGGGGGGGGTTGGACTAGATGACCTCCAAGGTCTCGTCCAACTGTTTTATTCTAATTTCTATCTTTTTGCAAACGGGGCTTCAAGAAAGCAGTTTAGGAAGCCGAGAAATCGGATAATTCCGATAAGAATCTACCTTGGGGTTTGCTTGCCGATTTGTTTTTCTTGAGGGAAGAAATCAAGTAATCATTGAAAGAATGGGTTTTATTGGGAAAAAAAGAAAGCATCGGAAAGACCGGAAAAAAATGATGTTTTTCAAGAAAAGAAAAAGAGAAGGAAGGAAAATGTTGATGGGCAAACGGAGAGCGGAGATTTTCAATGTGCAATAAGTGAACTGATCAAAGAGGATTTGGTTGTTTTATAAGGTCTCCTGCCTGAGCAGGGGGGGTTGGACTAGATGACCTCCAAAGTCCCTTCCAACTCTGTTATTCTGTTTTTCTCTGTCTTTATTTATCAGGGCAAGGTGACTTTTCAAAATTGACCTTAAGTGAGACCACTTTGGGTCAGATTGCTGATAGATCTGCCTCTTTTTTTTTTTTTTGAGGAAATTAAGTTAAAAAAATATATACCCTGTTTCTAGGGGGTGGAGAATGAAGGAAATTTTTGACATTGCATTGGAAAGCTTGAATTGAAGAATGACGCCGGATAACAAGTTTTATTTATATATATATATATATATATATATATATATATATATATATATATATATATATATATATATATATATATGGTTGGTTGGTTTGTTCCAGGTACAGTCTAGGATTGAGCTGACCCATTATTCTAAAGTTAGAATACTCCTTCTTGAAGCCGCTGTTCCTCTCTTGTGTTCCAATTAAATATTACTGGAGGAATTCTCCTGAATTCCTTTAATTTTGAACGTGCAATAAATAAGCAAAGAAATTTGTCTGATTTGAATTTCCTGATATGTACCTGGTGAGTTTTAGGAGGATTGGGAGATGAGACATATCTATCTATCTATCTATCTATCTATCTATCTATCTATCTATCTATCTATCTATCCATCCATCCATCCATCTATCTATCTGTATATATCTGTATCTATATCTATATATCACTATCTCTATCTGTCTGTCTGTCTGTCTGTCTATCTATCTATCTATCTATCTATCTATCTGTTTTCTGAGGTTTTCGCAGGTGTTTGTATGTAGGTCTTTGGTTATTCGGGTTTTCTCCCACGTAAAATTGGAAGTGTCTTGGCGACGTTTCGACGAAGTCCCATTCGTCATCTTCAGGCTGGTGTTTTCGGCTTCGTGCTTCTAGGAGCAATGTGTTTTCGGCTTTGTGCTCCTAGAAGCACGAAGCCGAAAACACCAACCTGAAGATGACGAATGGGACTTCGTCGAAACGTCGCCAAGACACTTCCAATTTTATGCAGGAGAAAACCCGAATAACCAAAGACCTGCATATATATATATATATATGTATGTATCTATGTATCTATCTATCTATCCATCCATCCATCCATCCATCCATCCATCCATCCATCCATCCATCCATCTATCTATCTATCTATCTATCTATCTATCTATCTATCTATCTATCTATTTTTACCTTGAATGTGCACCCTGTCAGCCCAAATATGGGAGAAAGAAATCTTCTTTCTTTTTCTTTTCTTTTCTTTTCTTTTCTATCTATCTATCTATCTATCTATCTATCTATCTATCTATCTCGGTCAAAAAAATCAGTTAAACCACAGTACAGATATTCCTCAAGTTACAACTATTTGTTTAACGATTGCTTGAAGTTACAGTGGCCCTGTAAAAAGCGATTTATGATCGGTCCTTGCGCTTACGACCGTTGCCACATCCCTACGATAAAATTTGGGGGGCTTGGCAACCAGTATGCATTTACAATCGTTGCAGCATCCTGGAGTCAGGGGATCAATATTTCTGATTTTTTCCCATCTGGTTTCTGACAAGCAAAGTCACCGGGGGGGGGGGAGCCAGACTCGCTTAAGGGCTGTGCGATTCACTTAACAATGGCGCTGATGGCCCTTAAACATTTGTGGCAAAAAAAGACCTAAAATCGGGCACGGCTCATGAGTTCCCTGCCTTGCTTAGTAACGAAAATTCTGATCCTGACTGTGGTCATAAGCCGAAGACTACCTATCTAGGCGTGGTTATATAGGACAAGATTACAATATGACAGAGAGGAATGTATAAATTTCTCCTTTTTGATTGACAGCCCACTGGAGGAGGGAAGTGACGGCGAGGGTCCACTTCAAATTTAAAAGCTGAATTGATTTTACAGGTAGTCCTTGACTTACGACCCAAAATTTCATTGCTAAGCAAGACAGATGTTGAGTGAGTTTCGCCCCATTTTACAACTACAGTTGTTAAGTTAGCAACACGTTGTTAAGCGAATCTGGCTTCCCCCATTGATTTTGCTCTTCAGAAGGTCGCAAAAGGGGATCACATGATCCCCCTGGGGACACTGCGACCGTCAAAAACACGAGTCAGAGTTTTGATCGTGTGACCCTGGGGATGCCTCAGTGTGAGAAACGGTCATTTTTTTTCAGTGCCGTCGTATCTTCGAACCGTCACTAAACGAGCGGCTGTAAATCGAGGACTGCCTGTATTTCCACCACCTTCCCGGTGCAACGAAGACAAAATACATCCAGAGGAAAGTATTTGTGTTGTTTAAAAAAAAAAACGATCCATGAAGTTTCCTTCTTTATTAGAAAAAATAAAAATAAAAATAGAGGGTCCGGTTTCATTATGCAGCGTGTTCGTTTCACCTTAATTTCTCTGGAAGGACAAAGCAGAATAATTGTCCTGCGACGGATTCTCCCATTTTAATGGCGTGGTGATTCTCTCGGACATCAGGTATTCCCAACCAGCATCTTCGGCAACTCTGAAAATATACAAGGATGCTAGTCCTTAGTGTGGGCGTTAATCCAGGCTGAGCTACTGAGAGGAAAAAGGCAGCAGCTCCGTTCTATCTTAGATTAATTACACGTGTCTCAATCTTTGCAACTTTAAAATGGGTGGACTTCAACTCCCAGAATTCCCCAGCCAGCTGGGAATTCTGGGAGTTGAAGTCCACCCATCTTAAAATTATTGAGACTTAGAAATACTCATTACAATATTTTCAGCTCTAATGTGTTTCACTCCCAATTGTTACCATTAAAAGACCAGGTCCCAAAAAAACCAGAACCCCAGTTATATATTGGTAGTCTTCAAACTTATGATGACTCATTTAGTGACCGTTCAGTTACAAAGGCACTGAAAAAAAGGGACTTGTGACCAGTTTTTCACACTTACGACCATTGCAGCATCCCCACAATCGGAAAATGGAGGTTTGGCAACTGACTCCTATTTATGACGGTTGCGGTGGCTCGGGGTCACGTGATCCCCTTCTGATAAGCAAAGTCAATGGGGAAGCCGGATTTACTGAACAGCTGTGTGAGTAACTGAACAACTTAACAGATGTGGCAAGAAAGGTCGTAAAACGGGGCAAAGGCCACTTAACAACTGCCTTTCTTAGCTCGACCTGTGGTTGTAAGTCAAGGATTATTACATCTACTGATAAGGATAGGGGCCTTGGGCTCAATCGTGAAACATCTGGAGCATCCCTTGAACGGCATCGGCATTGACAGGATCCTCATCCATCAATTGTGAAAAGGCAGCTTGACTTGGAACGGCTGAAATCCTGCAACAAGACTAGGGGTCGGCAACCTTAAACACTCAAAGAGCCACTTGAACCCATTTCCCACAGAAAAGAAAACACTGGGAGCCGCTTGATTGAAGAGTTTAATTAAAAAGAAATAGAGGCTGCTATGCATGAGTTCTCTCTCTCTCTCTCTCTCTCTCTCTCTCTCTCTCTCTCTCTCTCCCTCCCTCCCTCTCCCTCTCTTTCTCTTCCTCCCTTCCCCCCCTCTCTCTCTCCGATCTTCTGCTCACCTGGCTAGCTGGCCTGATGCTGTTCTCCAACAAGCTGACACACATTCTTATTGGGCTGGCTCTCTTCTGCCCTTGGTATGCCAGTCCTCTTCCCTCACTCAGTGTGTGTGTGTGTGTGTGTGAGAGAGAGAGAGAGGGAGAGAGAGAGGGAAAGAGAGAGAGAGAGCTGCTGCTTTCTGCTGCTTCCTGCGGAGAGGCAGCAAAGGCAGGAGCCCCGCCCAATAAGCTTGTCAGCTTGTCGGAGAATAGCGTGAGGCCACTCTCTTTTTTACACACACACACACACACACACACAGAGAGAGAGAGAGAGAGAGGGAGAGAGAGGGAGAGAGAGAGAGAGAGGAAGCGCAAGTGCCTCTTTCTGTCTCTCTCTCTCTCTCTCTCTGCAAATGGCAGAGGAGGACTCTGGAGCCGCAGGAGAAGGCTGAAAGAGCCACATGCGGCTCTGGAGCCGTGGGTTGCCGACCCGTGAACAAGACCATCAAACATCCATATCCCAAATCCCTGGGACGAACTCAGTAGAGGGATTAAAAATATCAAATTAGATCTAGATATCTCACTGACTATGCAATGAATCACTATTAACCACCCCCCCCCATCCCAAAGCTGAACAGGTAGCCCTCGACTTAAACCGTTCATTTGAAGTTACAATGGCACTGGGAAAAGTCACTTGACCGTTTTTCACACGGCCTTTGCGACATCCCCACAGTCACATGATCAAAATTCGTGAAGCCTTGGTGAATAACCTAACCGGGGAGTTGTCTTTTTTTGGTGATCTTTTTAATTTTAATTTAATTGGGTGATCTGGAGTCTCCCTCCTAGGAGTTATCCATTTGCAAAGATGTGATGGACGGGGTGAGTTGCCATTTTTGCGATGGGTGACAGGCAGAGCCTTTAGTGTTCTCATGTATTTGTGACGGTTGCGGGGTCCTGGGCTCATGTGATTCCCCCCTTTTGCGACCTGCTGACAATGGGGAAGCCAGATTCGCTTAACAACCAGGTTACTAATTTAACAACCGCAGTGATTCGTTTAGCAATGGTGGCCTGAAAGGACGTAAAGTGGGGGCAAGGCTCACTTCACCACTATCCTGCTTAGCAGGCGGACGTTTTGGGCCCGATTGTGGATGTATGTTGAGGACTCCTTGTACAGCAACACGCGCAACACTGATGCCTTACCATTGGATGTGAGTTCCAACATTTTCAGGTGCGATTCTGTTTCTGTGGCCGGGGCCTAAATGATTTTTAAAAAGGTATTATTCAATAAGAGAGTAGACTAGAAAAGAGGCTACATTAGACAATATTCTGTTCTATGCTCTTGATGGAGAATTCTTTTGGATGCCTAATGTGTCCAGATGAACGGTTGCCAGAATTGGATTTGTCTGGTTTAAAGAAAAAAAGGACCAGGGCTGACATGATAGCAGTCTTCCAGTATCTCAAGGGTTCCCACAAAGAAGAGGGAGTCAAGCTAGTCTCCAAAGCACCCGAAGGCAGGACAAGAAGCAACGGATGGAAACTCATCAAGGAGAGAAGCAACCTGGAACTAAGGAGAAATTTCCTGACAGTGAGGACAATTAATCAGTGGAATGACCTGCCTCCAGAAGCGGTGAATGCTCCAACACTGGAAGTTTTTAAGAAGAGACTGGACAGCCATTTGTCTGAAATGGTAGAGGGTTTCCTGCCTGAGCAGGGGGTTGGACTAGATCAGGGCTTTTCAACCTTTTCACCCATTGTACCACTTTTAGGATATGGCACTATCCGAGTACCACCAGTTGCCTAACAAGGTGTCAAAAACTTGATGACCAAAAAAAAAAAAAAAGGAAAAAAGTGATAAAGTACAGGTAGTCCTCGACTTATAACAGTTTGCTTAGTGACTGTTTGAAGTTATAACGGCACTGAAAAAAGTGCCCCCCAAGCCACAGACAAGCAAGACACCTGCCTGCCCGCCCGGTGGCGTTCTTCCTCCTGTCCAAGGTTTTCATTTTTGTGAGCATTTCTGTTGAGGATTGACAGTGGGGGTGGGGTGGGGGGTGTTTGGTTTTTATTCCCCCCGTCTGCTGGGTGGTTGCAGCAGGTTTTGGTCACTTCACATGACCCTAGGACACTGTGACCATCATAAATATGAATCAGTTGCCAAGCATCTGAATGTAAATCACAAGACCCTGGAGATGCTGCAACATTCCAGCTGATCGATGCTTCTTCTGGGCTCAGCAGAAGCACCAGGATCAGCACCGAGATCCAGCTGGAGCCTGGCGCTGATCCTGGTGCTTCCGCTGAGCCCTGACAGTCCCGAAGAAGCGCTGATCCTGGCGCTTCCACTGAGCCCTGACAGCCCTGCAGCTCCAGCCGTCTCTCGCTCAGGCTTGTGCGGTGCTGCCACCGGTTCAGCTCATTCCCCTCCCCTGCTACCACTTTTCTAGGATGGTCACGTACCACCTGCCAGGTGCTAATGTACCACAGGTGGTACCTGTACCACTGGTTGAAAAGCCCTGGACTAGATGACCTCCAAGGTCCCTTCCAATTCTGTCATTCCATTATTCAGATTGAATTCTTGGAATCTCTAATTGAAAGGATCACAAACTGGTGATGGGGATGTCTGTTATGGGAGAACATCTAACGGGGAATGGGGGGGGGACTTCAGCCCAAGGGCCTTCCTGTCTGGACCAGCACAGAGAAAATCCCAAAGAAAAACAGACTCACCGCTTTGCACCCCATCCACAGCGTTTTTCCGACCTGCCCGTTGCAACTTCTTTTTCCTTTTCCACCTGAAAAGAAAGATTTGCACCGCTTACCTCACCTGCCATCCTCACGGGGGACATGGGACAACTCGCTGCGGGACAATTTAACAATTCTATTTAATGCTTTAAAATAAAATAAAAAAATACGTTAATTTTTTGCCCGTCACGTATCCTTTGGTCCCTGCTTTTGCATCCTTTCTTTAAAAACTCCGTTCTGCCATTTCTTTCATATTAGTGTAATTTTTGTCTTGCAGCGAGTTGGCCATGGTGAATTGTCATAGAGCGCGCGCGCACGCACACACACACACACACACACACACAGTGTGCAACCTTGAGAAAAATAAAACAAACAAACAAAAATCTCCTAAACATTCACGACAAAACGTTTGCAAGCAGGATTGGAAATTCTCCATGGAAATGCGCAGGGATTTGCCCAAATTGCAAATTCTCTAATTTTTTGTTGCCCGGGCCCAGAACGGACTTCCGGAAACAGCACACACACAGAGAACCGGTGGTTCACATATTTGAATCCCACCACTGGATGGATGGATGGATGGATGGATGGATGGATGGATGGATGGATGGATGGATGGATGGATGGATGGACGGGTAGATAGATAGATAGATAGATAGATAGATAGATAGATAGATAGATAGACAGACAGACAGACAGACAGATAGATAGATTGATGCAGTGGTGGGATTCAGCAGGTTCGCATCACTTTGGCAGAACCGGTAGCTAATTTTTTGTTGGCCAGGCTCAGAACGGACCTCCGGAAGCGGCATCCACACAGAGAACCGGTTGTTCACCTATTTGAATCCCACCACTGGATAGAGATAGATAGATAGATAGATAGATAGATAGATAGATAGATAGATAGATAGATAGATAGATAGATAGATAGATAGATAGACAGACAGACAAACAGACAGAGGTGACAGTGACAGATAGATGATAGATAGATAGATAGATAGATAGATAGATAGATAGATAGATAGATAGATAGATAGATAGATAGGCAAGCAGGCAGGCAGGCAGGCAGACAGACAGACAGACAGACAGATAGATAGATGCAGTGGTGGGATTCAGCAGGTTCGCATCGCATCACTTTGGCAGAACCAGTAGCTAATTTTTTGTTGCCCAGGCTCAGAACGGACTTCCGGAAGCGGCATCCACACAGAGAACTGGTGGTTCGCCTATTTGAATTCCACCACTGTGTAAAACTGAATGTGAAAAAAGAGTTTGCTATCTCTGAACGGGACGGGTGGGGGGAAAGAGGTGAAAGGAACAAATATGACACAAAGCTGAGGTGAAGGACCGCCCCCTCTGTCCAAACTTCAACAAGGAGGCATCTTGGCGTTTACCAGTGGGCCAGAAAGACGAGGGGGATGAAGAAGAGGGCCAGCAGGTCTGTGGTGACCCAGATGGTTTTGTATTTCTGCGGCGTCTGTAAGAGAAGAGCAAACAAGAAGGGGGGTTGGCTTGCAAGGCGGAATGGGGGTGTCGATGCAGGCAGTCCTCCACTTATGGCCAACTGCATTGATTCACAGTGATTTGTCTGAAATGGTATAGGGCAGCGGTAGGCAACCTTGGCCCCTTCATGACTTGTGGACTTCAACTCCCAGAATTCCTGAGCCAGTGTGGCTCAGCTTGGAAATCTGTCCCTTTCCCCTCAGCACGGCTGGCTGAGGAATTCTGGGAGTTGAAGTCCCCAAGTCATGAAGGGGCCACAGTTTCCCCCATGCTGGCTCAGGAATTCTGGGAGTTGAAGTCTGCAAGTCATAAAAGAGCCAAGGTTGCCTAGCCCTGGTATATAGGGTTTCCTGCCTGAGCAGGGGGTTGAGATGACCTCCAAGTTCCCTTCCAACTCTGTTTATTCTATTCTATTCTATTCTATTCTATTCTATTCTATTCTATTCTATTCTATTCTATTCCATCTTCTATTCTATTCTATTCTATTCTATTCTATTCTATTCTATTCTATTCTATTCCATCTTCTGTTCTGTTCTGTTCTATTCTATTCTATTCCATCTTCTCTTCTCGTCTATTCTATTCTATTCTATTCTATTCTATTCTATTCTATTCTATTCTATTCTATTCTATTCTATTCCATCTTCTGTTCTGTTCTGTTCTGTTCTATGCTATTCTATTCTATTCTATTCTATTCTATTCCATCTTCTCTTCTCGTCTCTTCTATTCTATTCTATTCTATTCTATTACCTCTTCTGTTCTATTCTATTCCATCTTCTGTTCTATTCTATTCTATGCTATGCTATGCTATGCTATGCTATGCTATTATTATTATTATTTAACACCTTTGGCAAGTAAGGTGGTAAAACGGGACGAAACTCGCTTGATAGCTCTCTCATTTAGCAACAGATATTTTGGGCGCAATTGTGCTTGTACCTAAAGGACTAGCTGTACCATTCCAGACAAGTGGCTGCCCAGTCTCCCATCCCAATATCAATAAAATCAGAGAATAACAGAGCTGGAAGGGACCTGGGAGGTCTTCTAGTCCAGCTACTCCTGCTGTTCAAGCAGGAGACCCCACGCCATTTCAGACAAATGGTTGTCAAGTCTCTTCTTATAAACCTCCAGTGATGGAGAATCCACAACTTCTGGAGGCAGGTGGTTCCACTGGTTAATTGTCCTCACTGTTGGGAAGTTTCTCCTCAATTCCAGGTTGCTTCTCTCCTGGATTAGTTCCCATCCGTTGTTTCTTGTCCTGCTCTCTGGTGCTTTGGAAAATAAGTTGACCCCCTCCTCTTTGTGGCAGCCCCTCAAATACTGGAATACTGTTATCATGCCCCCCCCCCGGTCCTTCTTGGCTCTAGCAATGCCCAATTCATGCAACCCTTCTTGATATGCTTTCGTCCCCAGGCCTTTAATCCTCTTGGTTGCTCTTCTCTGCACTTCCAATGATGGAGCACCCTCAACTTCTGGAGGAAAGAAATTCCACTGATTAACATTGTTCTGTCAGGAAATTCCTCCTTAGTTCTAGGTTGCTTCTCTCCTTGATTCGCTTCCACGCGCTGGAGGACCCTTCAACTTACCAAGAAGAAGAACGGTTGGCTAACGTTGCCCAGAACGTGCACGGCGTCGGTGGTGACTGATTCAGCTCCGTAACACCAGGCCAAGGAGTAAAGCCACGGCTCGCTCACCACCCAGAGGTTGGTGGTGATGTTGGCTTTTGCATATTTCCTTTAAAAAAAAAAGACGAAACGAAACATCGTGAGATCCTCTTTAGAAGATGACTCACGACGACGCGCCAAGGTTGGCCCTAAAAGTCTGCCTGAGAAATCAAGCAGAGATTTACCGGAGAGGTCTTTACCGAATATCGACTGTAGCCAACCGTCGGTAGTCCAGATTGAGTTTTCCGATATTCGACTTTTGGAGATGTTCAATGGTCTGGGCGGAGGACGATATATGTTGGAATCCAGTGCGCAAGAACTGAACGTAACCCCGGCTTCGACTGTCCAACCAGAGGACCTGTGTTTCACAGAAGAGCAGCATTTGAGGGAAGGAAGGGAGGAAGGAAGGAAGGAAGGAAGGAAGGAAGGAAGGAAGGAAGGAGAGGTAAAATAAGGAGAAGGTGGAGAAGGACAAAGGGAGGAGGAAGAGGAAAAAGAGAAGGATGAAAGGAGGAGGAGGAGGGAGGAGAGAGAAACGGAGAGGTAGAAGAAAGAGGAGGAAGAGAAGGAAGGAGGAGAAGGAGAGGAGAGGTAAAATAAGGAGAAGGTGTGGAGAAGGACAAAGGGAGGAGGAAGAGGAGGAGGAAAAAGAGAAGGATGAAAGGAAGAGGAGGGAAGAGAGAGAGATGGAGAGGTAGAAGAAGGAGAAGGAAGAGGAGGAGGAAGAGAAGGAGGAGAAGGAGAGGAAGAATAAGGAAAGGAGGAGGAGAAAGGAAGAAGAAAGGAGGAGAAAGACAAGGAGAAAGAGAAGGATGAAAGGAGTGAGGAAAGAGGGACGAGGGAGAGGTAGAAGAAGGAGGAGAGGAAGAGGAAGAAGAAGGAGGAGGACGAGGAGGAGGAGGAAGAGGAAGAAGATTATTAGCTGGACTTTATGACCAATAGCTTTCTCCACATTCATCTCTTTTATTTTAAAACATTCTTCCTTGCCTTTCATTCCCAAACTGTGCACAAAAGCCCTTCTTTCTTTTCCTTTTTTATTAAAAAGTTTTTTTATTTGTAATACAATTAAAACAAAAATGGACAAGCGTGACATTCCAGAGTAAGTATTCCTAACAGTTTGTTTCTCGTGGTAGAAAAACATAATACATCATTCTTAACCTCTATATAAGCCTCATCCTTCTATGTAATACAATTAAATATACAATTATATGTATACAGTTATATATATATTTCAATCCTATCATTAACTTGAGATCTGAGCAGTTCTTCTTAATTCATACCAACGGTAAAATTTGTCCCAGATTTCGAAGTATTTGAGTTCTGTCTTGTCGTTCATAATCATTGTAAGCCTGTCCATCTCAGCACATGAAAGGATTTTATACAGGATCTCTTCTTCCGTTGGAATTCCTTTATTCCTCCAATTTTGAGCAAAAACCAGTCTGGAAGCCGTTAGAATGTGTAACATTAAATAAAGTACGCCTTTGTCATACTTTTGCGTGGTTATACCTAATAGGAAAAGTTCTGAAACCCCCTTCTTTCTTAAGGTGGCACTAGTCTCCAGGAATTCACCTAGCATCCTCAGGGGGAGTCAGAAAAGTCAAGCTGGCACCCCCAACTCCATCCCTTTTGACTTGGGCCATTGAGCACAGGCCACTGTGACCGTCATCTTAACTTTCTCTACCCACTTCCCACAGATCCCTTCTGTCTGCACCTGTCCCAAGATGGCGGTGGGAATTAAAGGACCAGAGAAAGGCTTGTGTAATCCCCAAAGAGCACCTTTCGGACAGCAATGTTTAAAGAAGGAGAATCCTTAGGTGGGATTGCAAAGAAGAAGGAAGAGGAGGAGGAGGAGGAGGAGGAGGAGGAGGAGGAGGAGGAGGAGGAGGAGGAGGAGATGATGATGAAGAAGATGATGAAGAAGATCATGATGATGAAGAAGAAGAGGAGGAGGAGGAGGAGAAGAAGAAGAGGAGGAGGAGGAGGAAGGAAGATGAAGATGAAGAAGATGATGAAGAAGATCATGATGATGAAGAAGAAGAAGAAGAAGAAGAAGAAGAAGAAGAAGAAGAAGAAGAAGAAGAAGAAGAAGAAGAAGAAGAAGAAGAAGAAGAAGAAGAAGAAGAAGAAGAAGAAGATGTAGAACTCTCCTACCAAATGGGGTTTAATCTTAGATTCTTTCTGGAGCACTTCTAAAGTTCTGGAGATCCAGCTGTTCCTGTAAGGATGAAACCTCGGAGGGCGATACAGATCAAAGATGACCAATTTGTTGGCTTTGTCCGCGAGGGTCAAAAATTCACTCAGTTTGAAAATCGTCTGATTCTTTGCCAGTTCTTCTTCTTCAGCCGAGACGGGAGGCATATGATAGAAGGGTTTGTTCTAGGTTGAAAGAAAAAAAAATACACAATAATTGGGCCTATTCTTTTTTATTTATTATTTATTTATTTTTAAAAAGAATTCCATTTCCTTTGTTGCTCTTTGTATAAATTCTTTCTCCTTCCATTATATATTCAAGATGGAGAGTATTTAATATTTATTTGTTACGTATATGTAGGGGTGTGGGTCTATACATATGTTGTATATAGTATGTTTTAGGTGTGTGTCATGTATGTGTTTCACTTTGAGAGCGGGCAACTAAATTTCATTTTTGATGTGTGCCATTGTGCCCATATTAAAAAAAATGTCAATAAAGGTTATCTTATCTTATCTAGTAAAGAAAAAACATCCCTTCAAAATGTGTGGGATACGGCATGGGTAGGCAACCTTGGCTCTTTTATGACTCGTGGACTTCAACTCCCAGAATTCCTGAGCCAGCATGTGGGAACTATGGTCCCTTCATGACTCGTGGACTTCAACTCCCAGAATTCCTGAGCCAGCATGGGGGAACTATGGCCCCCTCATGACCTGTAGACTTCAACTCCCAGAATTCCTCTGCCAGCATGGGGAAAACTATGGTCCCTTCTTGACTTGTGGACTTCAACTCCCAGAATTCCTCAGCCAGCATGGCTCAGCTTTCCCTTTCCCTTCAGCATGACTGGCTCAGGAATTCTGGGAGTTGAAGTCCACAAGTCATAAAAGAGCCAAGGTTGCCTACCCCTGGGCTAAAGCATACTTCAGAGGGTTGGCTATAACTTACAAGGCGAAAAAGAATAAAGAAAAAACAACAACAATTAAAACTACAGGAAGAACTTAAGAAATTAGAATCAGAACTACAAATAGACCCACAAAAGAAAATACTTTTTTTTTTAAAAAAAGCCTATTGCCAACAATTCTCGACTTGCAAGCATTTGTTTAGTGACTATTTGAAACTACAGTGGCGTTGGAAAAAGTGACCGGTTTATGACCATTTCAGCATTCCTGTGGTGACGTGATCCAAATTTGGATGCTTGGCAACTGACTCATGTTTATGACGGTCGCAGTGGCCCGGGGTCATGGGATCCCCTTTTGCTACCTTCTGACAAGGCAAAGTCAATGGGGAAGCCAGAGTCACTTAGCCACTGTGTTACTAACTGCATTGATTGGTGTAACAATTGTGGCAGGTGTTGGAATTCATTGCTGGAATGTATTTTTGCACAACAACTACAGTAGTGTTCAGCCAGTAGATGGCAGTGCTTACAAGTTTGGATCTATGGTATCTGTACAGTACTCTATGTTCTTTTGTTCTAAGTAGAGTTTCCTGTTTCTTGTTACAGTTAAACAGTTAAGCAGTAAAGCACATGGTGACTGTGTGGTCATTTACCTTCTTTTAGAATTTAGAGAGTCATTGAGGCCACTTGGGAGTTTATCTGTGTGCTCAGGGTCACCTGAGTGATGCAAATGGGCATGGAGCCTTCTTGGAACTGCTTTCAGTACAGCCATTTGCACTACTCAGGTGACTCTGAGGACACAGATAAATTCCTAAGTGGCCTCAACGACTCCCTCAAAGAAGGTAAATGACCGCACAGTCACCATGTGCTTTACTGCTTACAGATAAACCTACGGTTGATTTCCTGATCGGCTCCACTTTCTCGGGTTGACATCAGCCTTGCTGGTTTTCCCATCTTTCCCTTTCTCTTCTGGGATCACAAGGGATCCCCTCGAGAGCCTTGATCATTCCTGGCCTTCTCCTTCCCAAGAATCCTACCTCAAAAAACCACTTCCCCGCATTCAGCTTCTCCAAGATATTCCAGGTTAAGTAAGCCGGGTCTTCGTTCCTCAAATGAGGAAAGAGGTGGTGGACGTTGGTGGTCCTTTTTAAGGAGTGGTCGTGCATAAGGAAAGGCACCCCATCGTAGCTGTTGCAAAACAAAAGCAACGTCAGGACGGATGGGTCCTCCGGAGGTTTGC